TTTGATTTAAGTAAAGATAAGTGTAATTTTTTAATCATATTTTTTTTAGTTTTTATCTGAACTAATGCAGCGGTGTATTTAAGTTATTTATTAGACTGTAGTAAACATTTAAATAACATATGCGTGGTAACTCAGGAGTTTCATTCAAGCATTCGTCGTAAATATTAGTACACGAGCCACCCGAATTTGATTCTCGGCGGAATATATAAAATTGTTAATTGCAAACGTGCTGATTTACCACGTGATTGACATAGAAGAAATATTTTTTTTTATAGAATCATCGTGAGGAAATTTCTATATTTAGAGGAATTGGTGGATTGGACACGCATCGGTGCGACGCGGCGAAATAACAGTTTGAAACAATCTCAGAAATGAGGGGAGGTCTGAGCTAACAAATATGACTGTAATTAACTTTAATTTTTGACCTAAATAACGCAACGCTTCAAAGTATTGCAATAACATTTAAATAAATAACGCGGTCATAATTTTAATCATACGCAAATTTTTAATGTTTTCGCATAAAATTTCGTCGCTATGAATAAACTGCGGCCACTAATTTACATTTCAAGTAACTCGGTCACTGTTAAGGAGAGGATTTCCTCCATTCTCCGCTGCATGCAAATTCGTCCAGCACGAAGTAAACGTGTGACATTCGACGGACTAAAAGTTACTTTTATTAAAACGTTTTGGCTTAATATCAGGAAATAAGCAATCTACATAACAATGCAGCCGATGAAGAATGTTCATATTATCGAAGAATATTAAATGCTTATCTTTTAAAAAATGGGAATGCAAACGTCAAAGTATGTTTCCGGCAATCGAAGTGTATTTTTTTCGATTTATATAAAGTATATTAAAAATTTAATTAAGTGTTCAATTAAGTATTTCATGAATGCGCATATTTTTTTCAAATGTACATATTTATATACATTTGAAAAAAATATATTATTTTTTAAATATTATCAATTTTCGCGGGTCAAAATCGTGTCTAAAATACGATATTTTGTCCCAATCTGACCTTAATTATTTAGTAAAACGTTAAAATATTATAAAATCAAACGTCGTTTTAGTAATAACTTTAAGGTAGACCCGCCATTTTTAATATCCGAACTGTATACAATTTATTATACAATCTATTATATCTAATATTATTATTGTCATAACATTCATTATATTAAATTGTTATTACAAGTCCACTGCTGAACAAATGTCTCCTCCATAGATTGCTTAATGGTGGGGACTTTCCATGTAGGCGGGTTGAAATCCGCAGTTTTCAAATTACTTTGGGTAGGTAGTTATCAGGAAGATTTTGCTGCCCATTTCTTGTTTCAAATTCCTCTTTCGTCTTTTACGGCACCCGTAAGATGATATGAGATAATGGATATTTTTACTTTCATAATAGTAAACAATATTGTATACTCCTAACAAAAAACAACAATTTTTAAAACATTATGAGATTCTACTCCCCGCGGGATAGTAGCAAGAACGCTGGCTTCACCGCAAGTGGACCGACCGACTGTTTCTACAGCAAACGGTACAAAAATATAAAAGTTTCCGTTCGCGACGTACCACCGTTGTCATATTATAGCTAATTTACGTTTCTGGTGGTGAATAAAAACATAGTGAGGAAAATCGCTATACAAGATTATTTTGCAATAACCGGCCAAATTTGCAGAGAAGGTTCAGAATAAGTAATATAGGCAAATGATGAAGAAAAATTAATTAAAAAAAATCTCAGACATTCTGTACTTTTTGTCTTTTAAATTCAAAATGCGTAGTAATATATTATTTTATTACATACGCACACATTCGTAAGTGTCGATCGGTTAATTTGTGATAATTTCAAATAAAAGTAGAAGCCGTATATACTCGTCTTTTCAAAAACTGCAATAACGGTATACATCATTATTTATATATTTGTACTTAAGTTTAAAATTTGACTACTCTTTGAAAAATAACCCCGTAGGTATAAGCCTCTCAGAAATCAGAGGCAGCCTGCGCCCAGAAGTGGGATGTGAAAGTTGTGAGTTATTAACTTTTACTTCATCTAAGTTGTAGTAGCTCAGAGAATAATTGTTTTTTTTTATAGGATAGGGTGACAAAGGAGCACACAATCCACCTGATGGTAAGTGGTTGCTGTGACCCATAGACATTTACATATATTCTCAATGAAGAATCAAAATGCAGATGCGTTGTCACCCGTGAGGACTAAGATGGAATGCCTCTTTTCCAGTAAAATGGATCTCCGGTTCTCTACACTCACCATACGAAACACAGCAGTGTTAAGCTGCTATTTTACGCTGGTATTCTGTGAGAGCGTGCTCCTTTCCTGGTCGAGCCGACCCATTCATGCTACAGCTATACTAGTAATATAGCTGCAGCATGGCTCTACCACGTTTTAAATTTCGTCGTTACCTTACGATTTCGCACTACGCGAAAAATGGACTTTTATTTAAGTCAACAATAATGAAGTTTCTAAGACTCAGGTCCTCACAATTTTTAACAATTTAAAAATTCATCTGTTTAATACACGAGAATTGTTTTCTTGCCGAACACGATCTGATATGTACTTTTCATTAATGTCTTTAAAGTCATTAGATATTGTTGAAATAACAAATCTCCTAACGAGGAGGCTTCGCAAACATCGCAAGACGAAGATGAAGCAAACAAAGCACGCTGAGTTTCACGTGTGTATTGAATTCCGAATGAAAGTACGTATCTGTAGAATTACGTATTTAAATGAAGTAAACAAAAATCTGGGTTAAGATGACAGTCATCGGACCTTCGTTGACAGTGATGTAATGATATAGAACTATGGAGCAACAGTGCTGCATTTTGGTGATAAACATATTAATGGTTTTTTTATTTTCACACGATGTAGTATCTCTACATAAAAATCGATTGCTGTCAGTTAGTTTCGCAAACACTCGTAAATGGCTGGACTGCCTTTGATGAAATTTTTTGGGTGTGTTTGATTTACATTTACAATTGGACCCAATGGTGGCGCTGTTGACACGTGCGAAACCGGGCGAAAAGCTAGTATTGGATAAAACTAATTCAACAAATTTTATCGCGTTATATTGAACTTATTTTGCGTGTGACGTCCCGATGTCATAGTTAACCTGGATCAATAGTCGTGCTTACGAATGATTGACTAACTAGGTTAAGGTTGGCATTTTGGTATAAAGTGACAAACATAAAATTTTAAACACTTGGTAAATAGTTTGTAACGCTTCTCCAAATTCAAAAAAATATTGCCAACATCTACAAAATGTAAGTACGTTGTCATCCCTGAATAAGATGGAATGTCTCGTCGCCAGTAAAACGGTCTCCGGTTCTTGTCACTCCCAACACGAAAAACAGAAGCAATATGTCGCTTTTCTACCGACTTCAAAACTGAGCCGGTACTCAATTCGACTGTATGTTTTTTTAATGTGTGGTTACCTCATAACTTTTTACTGGGTGAACCGATTTCGATGATTCTTTTTTTATTTGAAAGCTGGTGCCTCACATGTGGTCTCATATAAATTTGATCAAGGTCTGACCAATAGTTTTTGAGTTATTCTTAATAATTTATATTGAAGTCGGTTGTACAAAATTTTTAATTTTAAATTATTACTTTGTCTGCCGACGTCGAAAAAGAAGACGGTACTCAATTCGACTGTATGTTTTTTTTATGTGTGTTACCTCATAACTTTTTACTGGGTGAACCGATTTCTATTATTCTTTTTTTATTTGATACTTCTCGTGTGGTCCCATATGAATTTGATCAAGTTCAGTCCAATAGTAGTTGTAGCCTATTAACGTCCACTGCTGAACATAGGCCTCCCCCATAGATTTCTTCATAGGGGGTATATTTGCCATATATGGTAACACATTTGGCAAGCTAGTTGGTAATTGCAGTTTTTTTTTACTTTTAGTCGTTATTAGGAAGACACTGCTGTCCATATCCTGATTTGTTTCCCTCTGTCGCCTCTTGTGACCATAAAATGATTTACCTCCTTTGCCTTTGCAAGCACCACTTATGTATAGAATAAAATTTGGTATAATATTCTCAATAAATAATGGCTTAGTTAAAGATCCGACATCCGAAGGGGGAGGAAGGTTTGTATCGCTAAGTGAAATGTAAGGCGGTCCTATACTAAAAGAAGTAACGGCGTGGTAAGGCACGCAGGAAGTCGATGGATGCAGCTAGCTCATGACATTCATTAGAGTATGGTACAACTTGAGCACGGCATACGCATGCAGCATAGAACAATAAAGACATTTGACTGGCTTCTTATACAAAAATAATTGGTTTTATTAATAAATTGTTAATTACAATAATTTTAAGTGCTGATTTACTACGGGCTCGGCGGTAAAAGTAAACATCGTGAGTAATGATGACTGAGAAATACATGAGAACATTTCTTTGCCCTAAAACCCTCTCAGAAATGAGTGGAGGCCTGTGCTCAGCTGTGTGACGTATATATGCTGTAATTTTAACTTTTTATATATTGTCAAAAGCATCATTTTATTAATAAAGAACTATCTCGTGAATGCGGACCTGCTTTAACTTTCACTCTTACAGCATCGCGGGTTGCGCATTGTATTTCGTTGACGGTTGACGCATTCGACACTCGTGCGCTCGCGCTGCTGAACGCACGGTAATATGTCGCACTGCACAGGGTTGTGACCTTTTATGATTTGATTTTTTTTAATATTTGATTCGACAAAATGCCCAAATACGATACAGCCTAGTGTGATTTGTGAAATGTGTTTAGTGAAATAAACTTAAGCTGTGATATAAATAATAGTAACCGCTTTACTAAAAAAAAGATAGACAATTAAAATTGTCAAGTGTTAATTAAACACAAGTTTGATTTAACCTTCACAAAGTTCAAAAAGAAATAGCAAATAAAGGAAACAGGGAAACATTTCTCATTAAATTTTGATTTCTTACACAGTGCTATATTAGCAGATTTTTTTGATATATAATCATGATGTGTTGATAACTCAAAATGTTTGGATTCAAACGTTCTATGATCCAAGCAATCCTACTTCTAATATTTGCCATTCAGTATTACACCTTCGGGAGTGTGTTCTTGTGGTATACCTTCGCTGGATCACTGACCGTCGTCTTATTACTAGCGGTGCTCACCTATGACCATGATTATTGGATCAGAAGAGGAATATTCTCTCCGCCGGCTTGGCCGTTTGTCGGTCACATAAGGACTGTGGTCGCTTTTAAAGAACAAGGAGGGATGTGCTTTAAACGAATCTACGACACGTACAAAAATGAGAAATTTTTGGGTGAGTGACACCGTTTTATTATTCGTTTAAAAACATAGGTTCTAGATAGACTGTAGAGTTGTTTACTAATATTCATTTATTCCTTCATTTATTCATTACAGCTTGTCGAAAGTTTATTGTTGAACATTTTTTTTAAGAATAAGGGTGACAAAAGGGCACACAGTAAACCTGATGGTAAGTGAATGCTGTGGCCCAATAACGTCTACATTTATAATTAACAGAATCAGGCGTTACTTTGCGGAAGTCCATTATATTGTTATGAGCTTGGGGTTCGAGACAATTTAAAACTGCTGATGGAGTTACCAAAATTGACACTTTAATTATAAAACACTAATTATAACTTAAAACCACACTAATAATAAAACGCAATTGTACTACTGATCACTTTAGTTCGCAGTTATTTCGCTGGATGTTTGTCCTTGTAAACTTGTGTATGTTAACTTCCCTCACGATATAGGATAAAATCCTAGTGTCCCCCACACATAACGTTTTTAAAAAAAATAACAATAACAAATAACTGCGAGAGTCAACTCGCCTATCAAGCGGGACGACTAAGGCAAAACTCTCCTACAACGGGAAAGGATCTGTACAGCAGTGGGCTTTAACTAGCTGATGGAAAAGAAGAATATTTGAATATATGCCAAAGAGGTACAAGGCGAACATCTGTATTTGTATTAAATTACACTGATCTCATACAACACCAAAGTAAAATAGCAGAATTGTTCAGAATACAGATATGCTCAGAATTGGTTCGACCACTTTCACTCACCACGGAATACGGATGCTGCCGTCCCTCCGTTGGTGAGTGAAGTTTAAAGTGGTCGAGCCACGCTAAACCTATATTATGGTTGCAGTAATGGGTCAGCTCAACCGGAGTATAAAGACCTCATAGAATACCAGCGTAAAATAGCAGCTTCTAAAGGTGACAAACGAGCAGTCTGTAGAGGTTATCTGTAGAGAACCAGAGGCCCCTTTTTTTGGTGAGGAAGCATTCCATCTTAGTATTCAGGAGCAACAACGCATTTGCATATTTATCTGAATCGCCTATAAATGTATGTGTATATAAGCCTCGGCATCCACTTACCATCGGGAGAACTGCGTGCTCGCTTGTCAAATTTAAAAGGCGAAAAACACATTGTGGGGTACTTAAAATACATGTTTTATTTTGACACTCAGGACACGATAGTCGAGACTTCGTCAGATCTCAAAATCAGACTTTATTAAAGTACCTACTAGCTGTTCCCCGCGACTTCGCCCGCGTGTAATTTAAAGCTTTAATTATGTTGCGCGGAACCCTAATTCTTTTTCTACAAAATAAGTTACTCCTTGTAATATCAGCTATCTGCCAGTGAAAGTCCCGTCGAAATCAGTCCAGCCGTTTCGGAGATTAGCCGAAACAAACAGACAGTCAGACAGATAAAATTTAAAAAATTGTGTTTTTGTTATAATTACCGGATGTAATTTCATATGCTTTTAGTATAAATACTGTTATTTTGATTTTTGACATTACAAACAGACACTTCAATTTTATTTATTTGTATAGATATAGATTGGCCTTTATAAAGCACTTTTTGAAAGTCAAGTAAGACACGCCATCGTTATCAGCATCTACTGCAGAAAACCTTGTGAGAAGAAACGATAACACTCTCACATGTAGACTATTTTTTTTTACAAGCAGTTACAACTTACAATTAATCTTACAAAGAACCATGCCCACTTTTCATACATTTAAAAACCTGATAGTAAAGGTTTGTGTATAGTAATAAGGTATAGTAGAAAAACTTCTTGTAAGTTTAGAAAATAATGTCATGTAGTCATATAAGAATATAGAGATATACTTACTGATTAAATAAAATAAATATTTAAAACTCAGAATCAGAGTTCATTTAAGTCAAGTAGCGAAATGCGAAGTATGTGAAATCTTACAAAAAAGGGTAGTTGAGATGCGTTCAAAATATGGTGGTAATAAGTTTACCCTTGACGTAGAATAAGCATAAATAAATATTAAAAATATTTTTTTCCTGCGTTTCTTTTAATATTGTGATACGCGTATTTAATTTAGAATTCAATTAGCTGAATTTTAAGATTTATTTCATTTCTATACATAGTCAGGTGAAAAAGGGGCATCCTTCATTATGAATTTACTTAAATTAAAAATAAATGAAAAGAATAAAATTATTTCTACATAATTTTATGGCTTCAAAAGTCGTTAGTGTATCGAAAAATTTAGAAATTTCCCTTCTTTTAAAAGTTTAATTATTGAATCCTCTGGGGATAACTAAGCAATATTACAATGCACAACTTATTTTTTACATGGACGAAATGCCTACGCATACCCGCCTCGCGGGGTTAGGACGGGTTATGTCTGACTCGCACCGTCTAAAACGCCATGGTGTTCCACCTTTGCCGTATATTGGCAGGGCCACAGGAACGCGTTTGCACACATCCGCGGCCCCACCAGCGTTGGCCGCCCCTTCTCGGAGGAGAACTTCCCCTCCCCATTCTCCTTCTCAGGCAAGGCGCATCAGGAACACAAGACACGCCTTCCTCCACGGCCTTCAACTTCAGCTGCGTAACGGGCCTCCCCGAGTCCGATACGTGGAGGTCATGGGGCCACAATGCACTACCTAGATCTAACAACTAGAATTATGTCTAAATAATTATATTAAAGTACTAGCTGACCAGGCAGACGTTGTTCTGCCCTTTCCGACGACCATTTGCTTTTCTGAAAAAACTCCTGAAATTAGCAATAAAAAATTGAGGGTCACTTAACGGGATAAAAACTATCCTATGTCTCAAGTTGGACCAAACTGCACACAGTGTGCAAAATTTCATTGAAATCAGTTCAGTACTTTAGGAGTTTATCGCGGACAAACAATGTGACACGTAATTTTTACATAATAAAGATTATCCCCTATTTTCCCTAACTTTAGGCGTGAGACCTTGAGATATAGTCCTTTCAACCGCCTTCAAAATGGAGGAGAGGTTTACAATTCATGGGAATCTTTTTTATATTATGTATGTACACCGATTACTCAAAGACGCCTGAATTGATTGGAAAACTTCTTTTTTTGTTTCAAAGGGTATACTTTCCAGGTGGTCCCATTTAAATTTTATCGAAATCATTCGAGCGGTTTTTAAAAAATCAACAATAAATTATATTTATATTGAAGTCGGTTGTACAAAATTTTTAATTTTACCACTTGGTAATAAAAAAATTGAAAACGGTTCACAATGAGGACTAATAATCTTCCACTCACCAGATGTCGCTAGTTGTGACTGAGGTAAAGTTTTTTGTTACAGTGTCAGTTAATTGAGACATTAGTTTTAAATAATAGTTTATCCTTATCTAGAGTATTATATTAATATACAACAAAATGCGTCAGTGGTTTGATTTTTAATTTTTTGCACTTTATAACTCTTTTTTTAATTTATCTACTTTAAGTTATATTTATAGTTTAGTTTATTTATTTCTAATGCAATTAATAAAAAATATAACTAACAATACGGAAAGAAACCTTAAATATTACATTTTCTTAAGAAATTATCGTCCCCGCTATGAAATCTGTCAAATATTTTACCTCACTGTAAAGTGGCGCCGCCCTGGTGGCAGGAAAAGTTGTGGATGCCCTCATTGGCAAAGATATCGTGTATAATAAACAAAAAAAAATAGTCGAATTGAGAACCTCCTCTTTTTTAAATATATATAAAACAATAAAGGTCAAATTAATGAAGCTCATTGTTTCAACGCATTCTTATCTTTAAAATAAGCATCTAGTTTGTAATATCCTTTCCTCATAAGAATGCTTTTTTTACATGCGCATTGATTTTATACAAATGTGTTAATATAATATATAAAGTATAATTAAAACGGTATGTTAAGGCTCACCACTGCTATTCTTTGCTAAAATTACAGAGGAACCTATTATTTTATTTGCTAGGTAATTATTGTGTCACTCACCTTTAGAATTCTGTACAATATTCTCTTTGTTATCACGATAGACAATTTTTCTAAAAACTGTGCTATAAAAGGAATCGCAATAAACTATTATCAAGACTTGGTGTTTTTCATATGTCCATCTAAGACACAGTATTTTTTTTTTGATAGGATAGGGTGACACACGAGCACACAGTCCATCTGATGGTAAGTGGTTGCTGTGGCCCATAGACATCTACATCTATCCTCGCTTGCGAATCAAAATGCAGATGCGTTGTCACCCTTGAGGACTAAGATGGAATGCCTCTTTTCCAGTAAAAAGGGTCTCCAGTTCTCTACACTCACCATACGAAACACAGCAGCATTAAGCTGCTATTTTACGTTGGTATTCTGTGAGAGCGTGGTTCTTCCCCGGTTGAGCCGACCCATTCGTGCTACAACTATACTATTAATATAGCTGCAGCATGGCTCTACCACGTATAAAAATAATATTACAGGCAAACTTGTTTTAATAGTTATACATAACAAAATATAAAACAATATATAAAACAAAAATAATTACATACTTAATTTCTGTAGTCGGTGGTAAGAAATTGTAGAATCGAATTGAAAAAAGAGATGGCGAATAATTAGAAAAGAGATAGCGAATAATTAAAAAAGAGATAGCGAATAATTAAAGTCCCGGCTTCAGAAGCTATTATGTGGTAATTAATTATGCTTATCTTTTTAATAATGTCAGTTTTACTTTCTTTTAAAAGTTTGATGATTTTATCTTTTGAGTGAACTAAGAATAACACAAGTTCAAGAATGTTTAAATAAAGAAGAATATCGACTAAATAGTAACACAAAAATTATTCTCTATATATTATTTAATTTCATTCCCTATTTCCCACACTTAAGTGTGAAGTTTTATTCTTAAAATTTATATTGGACCAATCCTGAAGTATTATAATTATAACCCAAAGAATAAAATATTAATCAAGGCAATCGATTCAGTTGTTTCATACATATTCGTCGAATGTCTTCACGTGGTAGAGCCATGCTTCAGCTAAATTAGTAGTATAATTGTAGCACGAATGGGTCGACTCGACCGGGGAAAGACCACGCTCTCACAGAATATCAGTGTAAAATAGCAGCTTAACGCTGTTGTGTTTCGTATGGTGAATGTAGAAAACCGGAGATCCTTTTTACAGGAAACTTCATCTTAGTCCTTACGGGTGACAACGCATCTGCATTTTGATTCTTTATCGAGGATAGATCTAGATGTCTATAGGTCACAGCAACTACTTACGATCAAGTGGACTGTGTGCTCGTTTGTTACTTTTATCTTATAAAAGAAAAGAATGAAGAACCTTCTCGTTTCTTGACATCGGTCAAAATATGAGCTTAGTCAGTCTGTCAGTTTTAAGTACCTGGTTTTTAATTCCCGCTGTCACCAATAGAATTTTCAATCACATAAAATATCGTGAGAAAATACACGTCTTAAACCTAAAATATATATATACACTAGTTGACCAGGCAGACGTTGTTCTGCCCTTTCCAAAAAAAAACTCCTGAGATTAGCAATAAAAAAATTGAGTAACTTATCTAAGGGTCACTTATCAGGATAAAAACTATCCTATCTCTCAAGTTGGACCAAAGTGCACAGAGTGTGCAAAATTTCATTGAAATCAGTTCAGTAGTTCGAGCTCATCGCGGACAAACAATGTGACACGTAATTTTTATATTTAAAGATATATCGAAGGCATGGAAAGTACACTAACACGGATTGGGGGTCGCGGTGTACTTTTCCCTTCTTTAAAACCTCTCTTATAGATGAGAGGCCTTTGCTTTTTAGATTTTTCACGGTTTATTTTTTAAAGTTTTCGACAGATTACTCGACGGTGAACATTAATAATAAATTATGTACGAAAATGAAGCTTGTGCTCAAATTTTCTACTTTTTGCGCAACATTGCTTACTTGTAATTATAGTAAGACAAATTATTTTAAAATTATACAATGTAAGTAGCATTGCAACTTCATATAATATAATGACTAATGGCTACAGCCTACTACAGCACATTAAGATTTAAAAATAAGAAACGGGCAAGATCCGCAGTCCGCGGAGATATCAATGTTCTGTGTCATACCGTCTCCTAGTTGACGGAGTTTACGTTAGTTTACGTTAACGTAGATTATAAACAAAATTATTGTTAAGTGAAATTATGTTTAAAAAAAAGTCCCGCTGGGTTTCTTGCTGGTTCTTCCCAAGACTGAGGTATTTTCCGAACCAGTGGTAAATAAAAAATGACTTTTAGTAAGTATTATGTAATAATCAATATTGTATAAAAATCATTCTATTCTATTCTATTCTACGGCGACGACTGAAGATAACATCAGTGTTGTGCGGCGTATGATAGAGACTGACCAAAGAGTGACTTATCATCAGGTTCGGACAAGCTTAGGCATCGGTATGAGTCAAGTGTACAAAATCCTCCATGAACATTTAGCGGTCAGGAAGCTTTGTGCCCGGTGGATACCTAATAATTTGACAGAGGCCCAAAACTCCGTCGTGTTGATTGGTGTCATAAAATGGTTCAAAGATTTAACGGAGGTGACTCAAATGCTGTGTTCGACATACTTACGGGTGACGAAAGCTGGATTTAATGTTATGATGCTGAAACTAAGAGACAGACTGCTGTCTGGGTTTTTCCTTCCGAGGAGTTGCCAACTAAAGTGAAGAGAGGTCGAAGAGTGGGATATAAGATGGTGGCCTCGTTCTTCGGAAGAACAGTGACCTGTTCTTACGGAACAATTGTTTTGGAGGATTGAAAAACTTACTGCAGAGTGGTACACTAACAATTGTTTGCCATTTGTCTTGGAAAAAGTTCGGCAGAAACGACGAGTACGAAACGGAGAAACGAAGGATCCTCCTTCACCATGACAACGCCTCGTCGCACACCGCCAAGCAAACAATCGACTACTTGGTGACGTCAGACGTGGAATTACTTGGTCACCCACCCTATAGCCCGGACTTCGCACCTTGCGATTTTCATTTATTTCCGAAAATAAAAGAGAAACTTCGAGGAAAACGTTTTATGGAGCAGTAGCAGCAGCAGTGACTGCGTTTCAAAATGCCATCGAAGAAACCCCGAAGGACGAGTGGGCAAAGTGCTTTTCTCAGTGGTTCCATCGATGTGTATTATGTAAATGGACACTATTTTGAAAAGTATAATAAAACTAATTACTTGCTAGTTTGTTCAGTTTTTGATTTTCTAAGAACTTTCAGTGTCACCCTCGTATTTGCTGATGCACTTCATAAATTTTTCATACAAGAATTCGATGGCTGAAGGTGTCTCAGGACCGTATTTTGTGTCCTATATTGGGTGAGGCTTATGTTTAGCAATGTTGTTGTTATGGGCTGTAATGATGTCGACTATGAATGAAGTCGTGTTAAGTGCGTAGAATCAATACCACGCGGCCATTTAAAATTTTATTGCTTATTAGAATCAGGCGTTATTGTGCAAAAATATTATGCACCTACATTCACACTATTTCAATTTATCCCACGGGGATCGTAAAAACGAAAGAGGGAAACCGAAACAGTTGACGGGCAGCAGCATTTTGCTCATAACAACTTAAAAAATAAAATAAAATTGTGGTCGCCAATTCAACTGCCAAGCGTGGCAGCATTGGCAAATTTCACACATATGAGGCAATCTATTGGACTGGACTATGTTCAGTCCAATAGATTGCCTCATATGTGTTCTAATAGGCTGTAGTACTGAATGAATAATTTTTAGGTCAATCCGCGTTGGAGTCAACTCAATCAACTCTTTTTTGTCTTAAAACTCGCTGCGGCCTGTCCCCAATAGTTGGATTTTTTTTTAAAAAGTTACCCCCACACTAGGATTTTCTCCCGTATCGTGGAGGCAGTTTACAAACACAAATTGCACAAGGACATACATCCACACCCGGAACAATTATTTGTAGGCCATACAAATACTTGTTCCGTGCGAGATTCGAACCCCCGGCCCCCAGCGCAGCAACTCATTGCTAAGCCACTGCGCCACGGAGCCGTCGATGTATGTAAGCTGCTACTTTTTTGCAGTAGTAGCCACGCTTGGCAAGTGGGTTGGCAGCCGCAGCTTTTTATTACTCTGCACTGTTATCAGGAAGATGCTGCCACCCATCTCCTGTTTCAGGTTTCCTTCTGTCACCTCTTAAGATACCCACTACGTAATAATGAATGAAAAACATTATTCGGAGGATTCGGAAAATTATTTTGTATTGATCTAATCAAATAAGCTTTATTACCTAAAATGTCATTTGCAGGTTGCCATCAGTTCTACCAGCGCACTTTGGTGGTGCGCGATCCGGAACTGATCAAGAGAATCTGTGTCAACGATTTCCAGTACTTCACCGATAGGGGCTTCTTCTTCGACAAAGAGGTTGACCCCCTGGCCGGCTCCATCCTGTACCTAAGAGGGAATGAATGGAAAAAATTAAGAGCCAAGATATCGCCTATATTCTCGTAAGTATTCTTAAATTTCATAGATAAAGTTGTTCATAACTCAATTTAGCATTAATTTATTTAATGTTTATAACATTGAAGTGACAAACGGACTAAACGTCCACTTGACGGTAATTGATAGCAAAGCCATCCTGCAGCTATATTAGTAGTATAGTTGTAGCACGAATGGCTCGGCTCGACCGGGGAAGGACCATGCTGTCACAGAATACCATCGTAAAATAGCAGCTTAACACTGCTATGTTTCGTATGGTGATTGTAGGGAACCGGAGACCCTTTTTACTGGAAACGAAGCATTCCATCTTAGTCCTCACGGGTGACGACGCATCTGCATTTTGATTTGTAATCGAGGATAAATGTAGATGTCTATGGGCTGGAGCAACCACTTACCATCAGGAGGACTGTGTGCTCGTTTGTCACCCTAATCCTATAAAAAAAGTGGTAGTAATTTCATGCTGCAGCTATATTAGTAGTATAGTTGTAGCTGGAATGGGTCGGCTCGACCGGGGAAGGACCACGCTCTCACAGAATACCAGCGTAAAATAACAGCTTAACACTGCTGTGTTTCGTATGGTGAGTGTAGAGAACCGGAGACCCTTTTTACTGGAAATAAGGCATTCCATCATAGTCCTCACGGGCGGCAACGCTTCTGCTGCATTTTGATTCTTTTGTAGATGTAGATGTTTATGGGTCATAGTAACTACTTACCATCAGGTCAACTGTGTGCTCGTTTTTCATCCTATCCTATTAATAAAAAAGTGTTAGCCTGGATATCCACAACCAACTTCAAACAAAAAAGACTATTGTCATCTCCGAGGAATATGATGAAATGCCTTATAGCCTGTAATTATATTGGTTCTCCATCTCCATACTCTTCAGACTTTACTGTGACTGCTATCCGGTTGCAGAAACCTGTGAGTGGGTGAAGCTTAGCCAGACATAAGCCTAGGCAGACAGTTCAAAAGTTTTATCATTGATCACTAATAAAAAACTAGATACACAATCAGTGACAAAAAAATGTCCTTACCGAATGAGCGTCCACTCGAACATTTGGGTGCGCTTTTAATTTGTACGTAGCTTTGTGAATAGAACTTAAAACAATGCATTTAAGGTTGAATTTACATTAATGTATATTTATTTCAACTAGAGTTACGTCAAAACAATTGGCCTCCTTTTTTAGAGAACTCTTTTTTTTTTATAGGATATGGGTGACAAACGATCACACAGTCCACCTGATGGTAAGTGGTTGCTGTGGCCTATAGACATCTACATCTATCTTCGATTACGAATTAAAATGCAGATGCGTTGTCAGCCGTGAGGACTAAGATGGAATGCCTCTTTGCCACTAAAAAGGGTCTCCGGTTCTTTACACTCACCATACGAAACACAGCAGCGTTAAGCTGCTATTTTACGCTGGTGTATACTGTGAGAGCGTTGTCCTTCCCCGGTCGAGCCGACCCATTCGTGCTACAACCATAATATAGCTGCAGCATGGCTCTACCACGTATAAAACTTCAGCATGTTCTGATGTTTTGAGTAGTTAGTAGCAAACCATAATGAATATATATCTAAGCCTAAGGCAACGATGGCTTTGAGATGGTTACGTTACGCATATGGAGGCCTACCTTTGCCTAAAAAGCAAAGGCTTCATGCTAAGAGGATTAGTGTAAGCAGTTGACTTCTCCTGAAGTAAGATCGCCAGGGAACGGCTGGTGCTGGTTTTGGATAGTTGCGACTTTTTTTTGCAATATGTGCTATAGGTTTTAACAATATGTTTTATTTGACATTCAAACAATGATCAACCCAAGCACACTGGTCCATTGAACAAGTGGTAAAATTAAAAATTTTGTACAAACCGACTTTAATATAAATTGTTAAGGATATCTCAAAATACTGGTCAGACTAACTACTACTTGATCAAATTTATGTGGCCAACGTATAGTCGAATTGAACACCTCCTCCTTTTTGAAGTCGGTTAAAACATAGGACGGCTACGGATGAATTTTCACCGTCTTGAAAAAATCCTCATAACCTATTCATACTAGCCCTCATACTCAGACCAAGCAAAAATGGGTTAGGGGCTAGCTCGTAGACATATTCCTACATAAGAACTAAGCCCACGGAAAGGAACCTGTAAAAGATGGCTTCGTGACGTAGTGGCATAGCATTTAGTTGCAGCGCTAGGGGCCGCGGGTTTGGATCTCTCGCTGTTTGTCTGTTTTTTTTTTATAGGAGAAAGGGCAAACGAGCATGCGGCTCACCTGATGGTAAGTGACTACCGCCGCCCATGAACAACTGCAACATCAGGGGAACCAGGCGAATTGCAGATACGTTGCCGGCGTTTTTAAAAAGAGTAGGCTCTTTTCTTGAAGGTCCCTAAGTCGTATTGGTCCGGAAAAATCGCTGGTGGTAATCGATTCCACAAGGAAGTTGTGCGAAGAAGAAAACATCTTCTAAATCGTACGGTGTTGGACCGCCAATCATCCAGATGGTGTGGATGTGTGGTGTTATACAGTTGAAAATTCTAGTGTGTCCGGAATTCGGATGTTTATTAGAAAAAAATCGAATTCTATGGCAATTTTAGTTAGAACTCGTCAGCAGTTCAAGTGTTATTGAAAAATAATGATACAAATACTATCACCTTTATAATTAATAATAAGTAGAATTTTTTTAAATTTTACAAATTAAATTCGATAAAACCAGACCATTAATCACTGTCAGAAAAGTTCTTAATGGTGTTTTAATTGGATTAATCAATTTAAGACCGATTATTAAAATTACAGCTTACACAGAACTCTGCTGTTCTTTGTTATTTTTTAGGGTCCCGCTGTCATTTAACGAACCCACATTATATTCGTTCTGCCTGTCTATCTTTATGTGTTTTCTTTGCCATTTTTTAAGTCTACATCTGGACAAAGGCCTTCTCTTCAAAGAGCCAAACTTTAGCATTATGCTGCTGACTAGTTTATTGTCAAATTAGATAAAAAAAAATTAGAACATATTTATATTATGTACTTACTATATACACTAATATTACTAATAAATATTTTTGGACTATTCCACATACACAGGTATATGCAAACAGAGAAGATAAAATTTACTTTCAACTTTCTTTATCGATTATCGAATACAGATACAAGAAAGTCTTCCATAGTAACGATTTTTAAAATAATAATTAGGTTCCAAAAACCACTCACACCGGCATTAAGCAGTTTCGATTATCTCAGTGCATCAATAGAATACATTTGTAGCACTCGAATGCGAGAAATATTCTATTTGATTTTAGTAGAAAGTGAGAATCGTATGTAGAATCGTAAAAGTGGGTAGTACTAATCACTATGAGCTACCGTTTATACGTTTCTACTAATGTACTCTCCTAAACCACTCCCCTACATACTTACCGGCTATTAGCAATTAAGTTTGTAGTTCGATATATCCATAGTATATATCAAGCATCAAAGTACACACACTTTTTAAATGAACTAAGTAAAATAGACCGTGTAGTCACATGAGTAAAGAAACCATGCCGTATTTCTTTACTCAAGTGGTGTAGTGGCGGTGAAAGAATATCCACTACCCCATATCGTCCCGTGGGTGTCGTAAGAGACGATTGAGGGAAACTAAAACAGAAGATGGGCAGCAGCATCTTCATCTGATAACAACTCAAAATTGCGGTTGCCAACCAGGCTGCCAAACGTGGAAAACTTGGCAAAATCTTCTATAAATAAACTTGTCATTTCTGAGGGTATTTTTTAATCGGGGAAGAGTAGCCGTTACCGTTACAGCATATAAAAGTCCATTGTTGAACATATGCCTCCCCCATATATTGCTTCATAGGGGGATACTTGCTATAGTTGCCATGCTTGACAAGCGGCTTGGCAACCGCAGTTTTTTAAAGTTATAATTCTCTTGGGGCGTTTGGGAAAAATTAAGAGAGTGAATTTTTTACGATGCGCGCGTAAACCTATAGATGAAAACGACGCCATGAAGTTGTTACGATGCGCGCGCACACTGACACCTCAAAGCGACAACTTCATTGGCTAACTGCCTCTCAAGTTTTCGTTTGAACTGATAACTATATTTAAGGTTACGCTAAAGAGACAAAACTTCCTACGTGCCAAAAAAAAACAAAACAAAACTTCCTACGTGCGTACATAAGTACACACACACGTTATTTATTTTAAGTCGTTATTAGGAAGACGCTCGTGCACATCCTCTGATTTCTTCCCTTTGTTGCCTCTTAAGTATGAGTCCATTGTTGAACATATGCCTCCCTCATGTATCGTCTCATAGGCGGGATGTTTGCCATAGCTGCCACGCTTGGCAAGCGGGTTGGCAATCGCAGTTATTTATTTTAGTCATAAAGACGAGGCGACTGCCTATCACCTGATTTTTTTCCACTGTCGCCTCTTACAACACCCACGGGATGATATGGGATGAATGTACTCATTATTGACTAAATATGTCTTGTTGAACTTGACATGACTTCGACACGATGGTTTTCTTTCACTTTTTATAGAATAAGGGTGACAAATGAGTAGACAGCCCACATGCTGATATGTGGATGCCGTGGCCCATCGACTCATACACCTCTCCTCGATTGAAAATCAAAATGCAGAACGTTGTCAGCCCTGGGGATTAAGATCGAATGTCTCACCGGTTCTTCGCACTATAAGACATACGGCAGCAATAAATTGCTATTTTATGCTGGTATTTAATAAAGCGAGGTACTTCATCGGTTGAACCTAACCATTGCTGCTACCATATTATAGCTGCAGCGTGGCTCTAACACGTATAGATCACTGCCGCGTACGTGATAAATCGCCCATAAACTTGCAATTAGCAAACGAACTCGCGTACTATTTAAAAGCAAGAACTATCTCTTGCGCTACGTCGGGTTCCTTATTAAATATTGTAAGTCTACTCATGTGATTGCAAGCTTGCATATATAAGAACAGTTGTTATTGAATACTTTCAATTAAAATTACGAACACGAAAATATTAGAGGTAAACTATGCAGCGGAACCCGCATTAAGACAGCTTTATGAGCCGACATTAAAAAAGGAAAATCTTAATTCGCCTTTATTTTTTTTATGCACATTACGCGATATCTTAGAAAAAATTATATTCCTAACAGTGTCAAAATATAGGATGAAGTTATATACTTAATTTTAGTTGTTTACTTGAACTTGCGATATTTCTTAGACCAGTTAAAAACGTAACGTTTGCGAAATATTTAGCTTTAAATCTTATTTATATATTTTATTTTTCATTTATATTTGTATATATATTTTTCATTCGAGTCATGTGCAAATATGTTAACGAGTTAACAAGTTAACGAGTAATAGTCGACCAGCTTATAAAATACACTTCAATTAGTGAAAATTTCGTTACAACTCCATAGAAAATGACCTAAAACTAGCTTTTTCTTAGTCAGTAACCTTTATAAAATAACTAAAAGGTTTTATTTTTTATATATACGTAGGGGTGACAAACGAGCACACAGTCCTACTGCTGATGAGTGGATGCTGTGGCCAATAGACACCTACATCCACGTCCATGATCAATATGCTAATGCGTTGTCACGCCTGTTGAATAAGATCCAAAGATTTGGCCATAGAAAAAAAGGGAGATCTATCGCCGAGCAAGGTGTTCTGTCTGGGGAGCGGCCAACGTTCCGTGTTTTAATTTTTTTTGCGCCCGAAGCAAGGCTACCCTCCGGAAGCGGGGGAGCGAGGTGGTGAATGCTCATAGCATACCACGCAGCCGGCTGTGTGGTTATGTGGGACTCACTAAGAAGTGCCTACCCACTAAACACCACCTGTGGGACTGGATTTGGCTTGTATGGCCTTTCTGTAGAATCGGAAGCGACCCCCTTTAGGGAAAAGGGGGCGCAGGCGTGTGTTTATAAAGAGCTGTTCTATATATAGTGCAGTGCTTCGGAACTTTGATAGCGTGAATTAGGTTACGGCGTGTTTCGCTTGTGGCGTGACGTTAGCGCCGCCACAAATAAGATCCGGTACCCGGTTCTTTACAATTACCATACGAAACTGCAGCATTATGCTGGCATTTCACGCTGCTACAACCACTGAACCCTGAGCTTGTATAAAGAATATATTTTTATTTATTTATTAGGAATAAAAAATTTCGAGGACATAAGAACTCCGCGTGTATTACGTCAGCGTGGCGGTCCCTTCCCTACTCTAAAAACCCCTCTCAGTAATAAATGAAGTCCTGTGTATATACATGGGTGGGATATGCCAGGCTATACTTTTATTATACCAATTATACTGTACGACTTTATGTCGGTTTAGGGCGCATTTGTCAATCCTCAGATGATTGTTATTCCTAGTGTAGTACTTAAAGTACAACATAAGTAAATTAAAGATTACAGTTGTTGGAATAAATTAGTTCAATTATTTCACTTTTATATTCAGTAAGGTAATATATATTATATATAATACTAGCTGGCCAGGCAGACGTTGTTCTGTCCTCTCCGATGACCCTGTGTCCTATAAAAATTCTTAAATTCGTAATAAAAATATTAAAGAATAGACCCACTTATAGGGATAAAAACTATCCTATCTCTCAAGTTGGACCAAACTGCACACAGTATGCAAAATTTCATTGCAATCAGTTTAGTAGTTTAGGAGTTCATCGCGGACAAACAATGTGACACGTAATTTTTATATATAAAGACTAGCTCGCAGGCAGACGTTGTTCTACCCTTTCCAAAGACCCTTCCCTATAAAAATCCTTAAATTCGCAATAAAAAACTTTGAGGGTCATTTATCGGGATAAAAACTATCCTTTCTCTCAAGTTGGACCATAATGCACACAGTCTGCAAAATTTCATTGAAATCAGTTCAGTACTTTAGGAGTCCATCGCGGACAAACTACGTGACACGTAATTTTTATTTATGATCTATACCATATATATATATATATATATATATATATATATATATACATATATATATATATATATATATATATATATATATATATATATATATAATAAAGCGGAACAGTTTTTTGTTTGTTTAAACGCGCTAATCTCTGGAACTACCAGTCCGATTTGAAAAATTCTTTTTGTATATTATAGCCAGATTCATGTGGAATAGTATAGGCTATCTATAATTAAGCTATATCACTCAGATAGCCTTAAATACGGATATTTGTTAAGCAAGTCAGAAGAAAAAGCAATCCCGAAATGATTTATCCCCGTACGCTGGTGTTATCGTTAGGGATACGTAAATACAATGTTCTAGACAAATATAGATCTTTACTTCGTCTAAAAAAAAGTAAGCGATACCATATGTCTACTTCTTATACATAAGCCATAATTAGGTATTTTGTGACAAAAAATAAATATTGAAAATTAAAAAGTGATTTATGAGCGTTATTATTAGGCATGGCCTATTTATCCTTACAAACGAAATTTACTTCATCATGAAGACAATTTTATGAAGATAAACTTAATTACTTATTAAAATAATTCAATACTTGGCTGGGCGCGCGAACGACGCATAAACCCTAGCCGCTCGGTGAGAACTGCTAGAAGACAGTATTGAAAGCTTCTATGAGCAAGATTAGTTCAATCATTATAGCTAAAATAAATTAAAAATTAATTCAGGACTTTTATGACAGTGATTAGTTACATCTTTATTTCTGAACTCTTTCATTTCACGTTCCTATGGTATTTTGAAAATTTAATTGATTAATAAGTATAAGAGTTTGATAGCTCAAGAATCATTTCATGCCTACACACTTTTCATGTATCATGCCATTTTTTCCATAGATTGCTATCACATAAAATATTTAATTGCAATTATAAAATGCTAGAACTAGGTCATGTCACGTACCTCCGACACGTGATGACGCGGGTGAAAAAGCGGGGCACAGCTAGTTTTTATATATAAAGATTATATATAATTTATTTCATAGATAACTTTCATCTGACGTCTGAAAAATCGGCCATAAGCTACATTTTTCTTTTGTTCCAGTCCAAACAAATTAAGAGGAATGTTCCCGTTAATAGAAGACACAGCTAAAGAATTCGTTCTGCGTGTAAAGAAGCTAGTTACAAATACCAAAAATACAACCAAAAACAATAGTGATGTAATCGATGATGTTGCGATAAATACAAAGGAAATTGACGAAGCACATTCAACTGTCGTGGAGTCGGAGAAGTTGGTGGGAGGGTATACAGCCGATGCGATAGTTCCTTGTGCCTTCGGACTCAAGAGCCGTGTCATGGATAACCCTAAAGATCCCTTCGCAGTTGCCCTACAAGCATTTTATGAAATGACCTTATATAACATATTAGAAAAGTAAGTATATGAAAGAAAGGAAATATATTTAGTAATACATACACAAGTTTACTGTGTATGGGCAGTGTAACAATATCCAATACTCCATATCGTCCCGTTGGTGTCATGAGAGGCGACACAGGGAAACAAACCAGGAGTCTTGCATATCACAAGTAGAAAAAAAACTTGGCCACTATGGCAAGTATCCCCCTTATGTGACAATCTTTGTGTTCAGTAATTAACTTTAACAGACTGTAATGATGATGATGATGAAAGTAAGATACAAAGGACGTTCAAGACGGAGTTTGTCGACCAAATTGGAGATATAGTAATGATTGATAAATGATGATGCCGGTCGTCGGAAATTACTCTTTGCTCGTAGGTCCTGTCAAACGCTTAATCCGGAACATTAGAAAAATATAATTGCAATCATTAATACTTAGATGCAACCCGGGTCTAATGAATGACACATCATATCTAGCTATCTAGCTAGCTAACCTCTCTGGTTGACAAGCTTGAGAACTTATGCATTATGTATGTTATGTAATATACGAGTATATTCTTAGGTAAAGGTATATATTGGTATGGGCCAATGTTTTTAATTTTTAAGTCCTTGATGTCTGAATCAATATTATATTGCAAAAAGAGTATAAATGAAGTAAAAGTATAAATTATTATTAAAGAATCCATTAGGGTGTTACCACACCAACCATCGATCGATGCCATTGATCGACGTCGATCGATGTTGATCGATTGGTGTGGTAGCTTTAGCTGATCGACTGATACTGGTCGATAAAACGTTATTCAACCATCGATAATTAATTGATGTGATTGTGGGCTCATTATCAGTTTCTTTCAAAATGTATTCTTATGAAGAGGACAATATGGAACAGTAAGTGGAGCGGGGCGGGTTCTCGCATAGTCAAGTAGCTCGATCGACGTCGACTAATCCAATCTACCATCGATCGATACCATCGCTTGGTGTGGTAGAAACTATCGATCGACGTCGGCTAATCCATTCCACAATCGAGCGATCGATTGGTGTGGTATCACCATTTGTTAATTTCGTTCCGTGGGTGTCGTAAATTATGACTATGAAAAATGCTAGAAACATCTTGTAGCTCTGATCATCCCGTTTAAACTGTAGGTACGTAAGACACCCAGACTAGTAACGGGTAAGAGTATCAATGAAACAGTTTATTGTAAAAAAACATTCGTGAGTGTCGTGGAACACTCGGATGGAACAAGTACCTTTCGTAGTATATAAACGTACGTTATGGATAAACGTATTATATTCTTTATTTCATGGCAAGATAAGAAAAAGTGCAATGTAGATGAATATTATTCCATCAGGCTTCCTTATATCCGCCAAGGCCGTCTACACTACGTCAGAAGGGGTCGTGACGGAAAAATCTTACACTTTTACTCACTTAGCTCCATCCGCCAAATTCGTACGGTCCGATAACAAACTTCATTTCAAAAATAGTACAGAGCACTTCAGTAATATAATACCTTCAAATTTCAGGACTATGCGTCAGTTTTGGCCAGCCTTCGTGTTGTTCTTCCGTATGAGGAACATCCCAAAGACGACTCACGATTTTTTCTACAACATTGTCACCAGCGTACTTCGGGCCAGAGAAAATGGTTTGGCATTTGATAATTTTAGTTCTCATCTAACTTATATTCATATTATTTTTATCCCAGTCCACCTGATAGTTGTACATTGTAAAGCATATTATAGATAATAAAATAAATAATGTCTTATAAAATAAATATTAAAAAAGTATGTTTAAAAACAAACTTTTATTTAAATTTTCTAAAAAGAACAAAATAAACTTTAAATTTATTTATTTATTTAATCTTTATTGTGTTACATCTTAAACTAAGGATTACAATGGGCGGAGAGAATTAAACAAGTAAAAGTTGGTAGGTGCTAAAAATGTTAAAACTACTAGACATATATTTTTATACCTGGTAGAGCCGTGCTGCAGCTATATTAGTAGTATAGTTATAGCACGAATGGGTCGGCTCGACCGGGGAAAACCACACACAAAATACCAGCTTAACACTGCTGTGTTTCGTATGGTGAGTCTAGAGAACCGGAGACCCTTTTTACTGGAAACGAGGCATTCCATCTTATTCCTCACGGGTGACAACGCTTTATTGAGATGAAAGAAAGTTGGTAATCGGGAAATAATAAATGTTTTCTTTCTCTCCTGTAATTTTTTGAAAAATTTAAGTTCGCCGCTTTGCGACGTCAACGACGATTTGTTCGAGCACCACCAAACTATCCTCAACATTTGCCGAGTTATAAATCTTTAAAATTGGTACGACGACAATCTTGCTTTCCGTCATTTTGAATTTTTTTCACCACCGAATTTGCCCAGGGCAGCCCACCCTTCCTAGTCTTACCGTTTAGTCGGGCAGTGGTACAGCATCTCCTCAAAGAGCTGATGAGACGTGGACGTCATTTTATTCGTATTCTTCTCAGCGAACCCTTTCATTGGATATCCATATCAGGGGGTGAATACAAAAACATAGTCCGCCATCTTAGGGAGTCCACTATAATTAACTTTATTATTTTTGTATTCCTCTTAGCAAATTCTTTCATTTGATACCTATATCGTGAGTGTACATAGATAATAACTAATCCGTTCGTCTTGGGCGGTCTAGTTATTTTCTACATTGTGTTTAAAATGACGATTTTTCCGGATCGGTACGACTTAGGGACCTTCAATAAAAGAGATTACACCTCTCTAAAAGGCCGGCAATGCACCTGCAATTCCCTTGGTGATGCGGTTGTTCATGGGCGGCGGTAATCACTTACCATCAGGTGAACCGCATGCTCGGTTGCCCCATCTTCTATAAAAAAAATGTCACTCAGCTAACCATGCATTGTTATCCAAACAAAACACGTATGCAGAATTTTAGCTCAATCGGTTTAGGATAACTACTTTAAAATTTAGTTGGAAGATTTGAACCTAACAAACATACAAACATTTCAAGTTAATAAAAGCTTTTAAAAACAAATGTTGATGAAGTCTTTTAATAAAATAAAAAATTAAATAATTAATCGTGTCTAGCATCTAGCTGGTCAGAATGAGAATGATGATAAAAAAATGTTGTTTTAGGTGATCAGGAAAAAAGAGGAGACTTTATTGATATGATGATGACCTTGAGGAACGATGAGAAGAACAACAACTCATGCAAAGCTGAGTCTGAAAACGACGTTGAAATAAGTGAGTAGTTATATTCACATTCATATATATTTCATACATTAAATTATCTCTATAAAATATCCGTTTAAAAGTATATTTTTCGTTTTTAATAAAACGAATGGCGTCCTGTCAGTTACACTGGGTACAGAAATGGCTCACAACTAGACTCACTTTTAACGTGGTAGAGCCATACTGCAGCTATATTATGGTTGTAGCACGAATGGGTCGGCTCGACCGGGGAAGGACCACGCTCTCACAGAATACCAGCGTAAAATAGCAGCTTAACACTGCTGTGTTTCGTATGGTGAGTGGAGAGAACCGGAGAACCTTTTTACTGGAAACGGGGCATTCCATTTTAGTCCTCACGGGTAACAACGCATCTGCATTTTGATTCGTAATCGAAGATAGATGTAGATGTCTATGGGCCACAGCAACCACTTACCATCAGGTAGACTGTGTGCTCGTTTGTCACCCTTATTCTATAAAAAAAAGTCTCAGTAATTGTTTTTATTGATATTTTCCGGATTTTAGAAGACTGTATTACAATTTATTTTCTTGCAGGTTTAATGCCTACATTATTAGAATTAAACTCTAGATATAAGTTTCTTTTCTATAGGACTAGGTTGACAGACGAGCACACAGTCTATCTGATGGTAAGTGGATGCTCTGGCCCTTACACATCTACAATTATAGCACAATCAAAATATAGATCCATCTTGGCTCTACCACGTAATCCGTAAGAAAGTAACCGACGACATCTGTTTTATTTTATTTACCATAACTTCTAACCAATACAAACCTATTTTGAGTACTATTGTATTTGAGTAGGCCATGCGATCTTTCATGTAAAAAATAAAGACGTGTGTACAACAGTGTAAAATGGTGTCCACAATACACGAGAAATTTTCATTGCCCATCAATCGGAAAAGTTGTTACAACTTTAGATAGAGATTTTGTTTATCTTTATTATTTACATACATACACAAACACTCAAGCCTGTCACTCAGAGGGGTCAGCACTCGGCAGAGATTACGGACTTCCATTCGGCACGATCCTGACACAGCTTTCTCGCCTCCTCCACATCCATATACCTACGCATACACCCTCGTCGGTTAAGGGTACACCTAGTTTGGCCCATTTTCAATATATCGCCACTTTGGTCGATAAACTTTCGTCTAGGGCGTCCCTTTTTATTAACTTCCTTCTGTGTAGCATTGAAAGGAAGTTAATGGTTTTAGCTGGCAGTCTGTTAGTCTGTATGCCGACACGATAACTTCCGTTCCACTGGACCGATTGACTTTAAATTTGGTATGTGGATACCTTGAGGTAGTAGCTCGGTCGAGTTTGAATTTGGGTCCTGTAAGTCAAAGGGCACCAGAGATATGGTATTCACGCAGAAGGAAGTTGTTTTTCTTGAATTTACATTCAACTCGTTATTTAATAGTTTAGATTTTATTAGATACGCCCACAAATACTAACCTGGTCTATTGATAATTACGTAGAAACTAAATTTGACTCACGTATTCCAAATACCACGATAAATAACTGATAGAAGTTATTTAAAAAAATCGATGAATATAGCGCAAAGTACAAAATTTTGGTTAAATTATCAAACAGTCACGTCGCCTAAAAGCCTTTTGTCCGGCCCATCAATTTGCGATGTAATGCGCTTGTTTTCTAAATCTGAAAAATGGCAAAGGGCGCCCTACACCCGAGCCTAATCGCGATCATGATGGAGGTAATTTTATAAAGTGGCCCCAAGTGAACTTGAACCTCCGTCTTGTCTGGTTTGTACACTCTATCCTCATTACGCTTAGCCCTGGAATTAAAATATTAGGGTGAGGCTGAAGAATTAAACTTGCGAGTTACGGTTAACTTGATTAACGTTTTTTTTTCTCTGAACGCAACCTTTAATCTTGTTAAATTATTGAATTTAGATGAATGATGTGATGTTCAGTTACAAAATTGCACCTACCAACTTTTTGTGAGGAAAGGGAATTATGTAATGTAGTGTAAAGACGATTGTGGCGCTCTGGGCGTTTGTGGGTTCGGTACTGCATTGAAGGTTGTATGATATCATTTTGAAAGTGACAAATTATTGCTATTAATTTTAAACAGGTGTTAAGGCGTCATCACTAAGTTATAATTTAATTACTTAAGACGGTATACGTGGTAGAGCCATGCTGCAGCTTTGTAGCACGAATGTGTTGGCTCGACCGGGGAAGGAGCACGCTCTCACAGAATACCAGTTTCGTATTCGTTGCAGCTATATTATGGTTGTAGCACGAATGGTTCGGCTCGACCGGGTAAGGACCATGCTCTCACAGAATACCAGCGTAAAATAGCAGCTTAACACTGCTGCGTTTCGTATGGTGTGTGTAGAGAATCGGAGACCCATTTTACTGGAAAAGAAGCATTCCATCTTAGTCCTCACGTGTGACGACGCATCTGCATTTTGATTCTTTACTGAGGATAAATGTAGCTGTCTATGGGTCACAGTAACCACTTACCATCAGGTGGACTGTGTGCTCGTTTGTCACCTTACCCAAAAAAAGACGGTTTATTTTACAAATTTATATAAAGAAACAATTTTGGTACAAGGTGTTTTTGTTGTGTGGCGGTGTAAGAATATCCAATACCGAGTTACGTACCGTGTTTGTCGTAAAAGGTGACTGAGGTAAACAAACCAGATGAACAGCAGCGCCATCCAAATAACAAAAGAAACTGCTAGAAGGAAAAACTAAGTATGACAAACTGCCTACCAAGCGTGGCAATTGTGGCAAAAATACCCCTTATATGCGGCAATCTATGGGTGAGGCCTATCCTGTATATGACTTATGGAACGGACGGTACGGGTTTGGCGGATGGGAGCTGGGCGACAAAAAGTGTAAAGCCGCGTATTCACCAAAAATGTTGACAACATTTATGTTTCCAACTGTTTCCAACAAGCGTCTCCACCGAGGGAACAAATGTTTGTAACAAGCGTATTCATTTGATGTTGCCGCCGAAAATGGAAACACGGTTCCCGACATAGTTTCAAGTTTTGTTACCAACTGTTGTGTTGGCAACAAAACTTAGGCGGAGACGCGGCTTAAGATTTTTTCGTCACGACCCCTTGTGTCATAGTGTAGACGGCCTTGGCGGCGAAATGAGGAAGCGATATGGAATAATATCCATCTCCCTCGCACTTTTTCTTCTCTCGCCATGAAAGAAATATTATTTTATTTCAAATGACGCTTCATTTTAATAGACGCTAGTAATTCATTTAATTGTATTTGTTAGTGAATATTATAATATCTACATTTATCAATAATAATATACCTACTACGCAAGGAACTTCGTTCCAACCGAGTGTTCCACGACACTCACACATTTTTTTATAGGTAGTGGATATTTTATAGATGGTAACGTGAACATTAACGGTAACCGTTACTCAGGTCGAACATAATTTTTTAATGTGACGTACACTTTTATTCGCTTACTTTATTTACAAAAATACATAAAGTTCGATGCAAAGCTTTCATCCCCGCTTATATGCGAATGTAAGCCCTATGTTTATCTAAGTGCTCGTTGAAAGCGATGTATCATGGACCATGTTAGAACGTGTAGGGTTGTCAAGATTATTACAATGGGTTTGTTCAAGAAAAAGTAGGGCCTAAAACATAGAAATGACGAAATATTTAGTTTGTCACTTAGATTTTATAGGTAAGTAGACTGATGGTAATAAAGGTATCTACAACTTTTTTACCACCAGGACGGCGCCACTTTATAGTGGGGTGAAATAATTGACAGATTTCATGGAGATGTTTTTAAATTATTAGGAAAATTTAAAGGTTAATACTTAGTTTATAGGTTAAAGGGATAACAGGAAAATTTAAATTTAAAGGTATTCTTTCCGAAATAAAACATGTTTTTATCTACGGTAGATGTGCAGAATATTAATCTATAAGCAAAATTATTGACCAAGATGATGTCACCAACCATCCCATTTAATTTCATTTTTTTTAACTGCTTCCGTGTTTCAAATTATTCTGAAACTTGGTGTGCCGATAATTTTATTAAGAAACTTAAGTCCGCCTAAACTGTGCAACGGTACCCGGTTTAGAGTAACATCTCTGCAGCGTAACGTTATAGAAGCAGAAGTGCTTCTAGTCGTGACACTGGGGAGTGAGTTTTTATTCCTCGAAAACCGTTGATACCTAACAATTTCCCAATTCGGCTTTAAGCTTGTCTTATTTCCAGTGAGTGTCTGCTTTGCTATGGAGATAAATAAATCGCAAGGACAGAAGCTGCACACATCTGGTGTTGACCTAAATAATTTGTTCGTTTCTCATGACCAGGTATATGATGCTTTCTCGAGAATAAGAAGTGAGAACAATCTCTTCATTTATGTTTCCGGCGTTAGCACCAGTGACTGTTTATACCGAAGATTTATACTAAATTTTGAAATATAATTGAAGAATGATGAATGAATGATACTCATAAACTATTTTAACGTTTCGAATGTTTTGGTCTTCTTACTCCAAGGTTTTTTTTTAAGAATAAGGATGATAAACGAGCACACAGTCCACCTGATGTTAAATAGATGCTGTAACCCAAAGAAATCTACATCTATCCTAGATTAAGAATCAAAATGCAGATACACGGTCACGCCTGTGGACCAAGACAGAATGCCTTGCTTCCAGTGAAAAGGGTCTCCGGTTATCTACACTCCCCATACAAAACATAGTAGCATTACGCTGCTATTTCTCATTGGTATTCTGTGAGAGCGTGGATATTCCTCGGTCTGTTCGACCCATTCGTGCTACAACCATAATATAGTCGTATATTTTATTCTACATAATATCAATATCATATAATAAATACCTACGACCACCTGCCACTGAGCCCGAGTTTTCTGTAAGAAAGTAATTTTTCCGGGATAGAAAGTATATTCCGTGCACATCTACCAAGTTTCATCAAATTATCAAAATCTTTTCAATTGCTGGCGTGAATAAGCACCAAACATTAGAACGTCTAAACAGACTTCTACAGTTGAACGTGTATAAACATACTATGGTAATAATAAGTATGAATCAGTATGTTAGGAGATGAATAAAATTATTGCCATGGACGAAGTCATGGGTACAGCTAGTCTTTAATCTTAATAAATCTTTCCCTAGACTCTCAAACGTTTAGCCATGAGATCCTCGTGAGAGACAACTATACAAAATATTACGGTGATTATTTCTTTCCTTGGATGACGACGCAATTAATGGGGGCTAATAATTTTACGCTCAACAGATGTCGCTAGTTGGGACTCAAGTAAAATTTGTTCTGTAAATGGTCACACAATTTCATCATCATTGAAAAGTTGCGATTTAATTATACGTACTCAGGCTTTTTGGTTTAAATTTATACACATCTATAACTTTATTTAATTCTTTTATTTTTAGTAATATCCGTAGTTTGGTTTATCCATTTCTAATCTAATTAACATAAAAATAACTAATATTTCAAGAAGAAACGTTAATCTCTCCACTAAAATCTGTCAGATACTTCACCTCATTCCTAAGAGATGCCGCCCTGGTGGCAGAAAAAGGTGTGGATGCTCTCAGTACTTTACCTGAGAAAAAATAAAGTTTACATACGACCTAAAGCATAATATTGCTATTCAATTTGTATTTGAATATTTTGTCAAACATGCTTTTTGGTTCGCTTATTAATGTTGACATTTAATCAATTGTTTTAAATTATTATAAAATTTTTAGGGTTGTCCAAAATATTTTATTTTATACATTTTTGTCCAAGAGCCATTGCAATAAAGGAGCAAGCCGATATAATCCCGCCGGCCCGAATGAAACTATTAAATGAAAATTTAAGTCATGATTTACTATAAAAAACTAAAACAATTAAAAATATTTCAATAAAATGTGAAAATTACCAACACGTGCTCGGAATAGTGCGGATTAAAGGCTCTCCCCACTCATAAATGAAAGGAATTTGTACTCATTCGTAAGACATAATGTTACTTTACTATACTGTTTATCATCAGTTGTATAAAAAGCTATCATCATCATCATCAAACGTAAAATTAGCCTCATTATTGCAAAGAACTCGGTGCAACGCTAAGGTATTCTGAAGATTTTTTTTTAAATAAAATTGAAGAGACAAATGTACTCACCTGTGGTACTCACAGTCCATCGGAATTAAGTGGCTACTGCAGTGTAGGATACCTGCAACCGATTTGCTACAACTTGTGTATCGCCCAATATTTAGCAGAGTTCCATAACATTTTATTAAATTTAAATGTATGCTTTTTGTATAACCGCTATGAATATTACCGCTTAACCGCGACTATTATAGAAAATCGAAACAAATACAAAATTTTGGTATTATTGTAAAGTTGTTGTTGTCGATATGACATGAACCTCAACTTTCTTGTTGACCAGACTGAATTTATCTTTACTATTATATTACCATTCATTATTTCATTGCAGCCTTTCGAAACCGCTGAACATATGCCTCCCCCATAGATTAATTCATAAATGCCATACTTTGCAGACTTTATACGAGCTTTATACGTAGGAGAATCCACTCAAAATAATATTAGTAAGTTAGTAAGTTAGTAGTATTAGTAAGTTCTTTTCTCTATAGAACTAGGTTGACAAACGAGCACACAGTCCACCTGATGGTAAGTGGAGGCTGGGCCCATAGACATCTACATTTATATAATTAATAGAATCAGGCGTTACTTTGCGGAAATCCATTATATAAAAGCTTTTACAAAAATTTACTTCGCAAATATCCGCGTTATAAAATAAAATGATGTGTCTTACCTAGTATGAAGAAGCACCTCCCGCCCTCCCTCAATTGCGTGCACTAACCCCGTCACCACTAATCCCAGCACCGCTACTCCCAACACCACTACACTAGGCAAGACACACCACTGACGATAATACGACACGTGTTTCGCCTCTACACGAGGCATCCTCAGGTGATATAGACTCTACGGTGGCTAACTTAGACCGTAGAGTCTATATCACCTGAGGATGCCTCGTGTAGAGGCGAAACACGTGTCGTATTATCGTCAGTGGTGTGTCTTGCCTAGTGTAGTGGTGTTGGGAGTAGCGGTGCTGGGATTAGTGGTGACGGGGTTAGTGCACGCAATTGAGGGAGGGCGGGAGGTGCTTCTTCATACTAGGTAAGACACATCATTTTATTTTATAACGCGGATATTTGCGAAGTAAATTTTTGTAAAAGCTTTTATCTACATTTATACTCAATTACATATATGACATTTGGGGTTATGAATTTAACATATTTATATTTACATACACATACACTCACGCCTGTCACCCAAAGGGGTAGGCAGAGACTACGGACTTCCATTTAGCACGATCCTGACGCATCACTCCCGCCGCCTTTATATCCATATACCTACGCATGTAGGTATATGGATGTAAAGGAGGTACCCTTAACCGACGAGCACACGCTCGTTGGTTAAGGGTACTCCTAATCTGGTCCATATTCAATATATCGCCAATTCGGTCGACAAAATTTCGTCTAGGGCGTTCCTTCCCGACTTTACCCGACTCTGGGTGCAACTATTAAACAATCCTTGTCTTCCAATCCATTTTCCAACCCCATCTAAGTCCTTGCTTTGTAACTATTTCGTTGTTCATTCTTTCTACATGACTAAATCTATCCTCAATTTAGAATCAAAATGCAGATGCGTTGTCACCAATGAAGACTGAGAAGGAGTGCCTCGTTTCCAGTAAAAAGTGTATCCGGTTCTCTACACTCACTATACAAGACACAGCAGCAATAAGCTGCTATTTTACGATGTTATTCTGTGAGAGCGTGATCCTACGTCGGTCCAGCCGTTCCGTTCGTTCTATAATAGAAATATAGCTGCAGCGTGTCTCTATCACTTAAAAAATTATGTTGCAAATATTATCATGTATGAACATTTTTAAAACAATTTGCCAGCCCTGTATCCACAGAGTAACGTAATTTCGCGTTCTCTTTAATCCCGCTGTAATCTCATCGAGCTGTCGGACGCGTTTCCAACGGGCATTTCTGTAATTTAAAGTTGCCACAGGAATTAGTACTTTATGCCTTTGTACACAGGAGTGTCCCCTTTCATATTATATGATATAATTTTTGCATATTTAACACTGGCAGATGTTTCACGGTTTAATATTCTGGGATTGGAATTTTTAAGTCTTTCCTAGCTGAATTTTTTTGCGCGTCCCGTGATAAATTTTGGTACGAATATTTTTGAGTGGCCTTTTACATGATCCTTTCATGTTGTGTTTACATAATGGTTTTGGCTCAGAGCAGTGGTGGATAAGGGGAAAGCGCTCGCTGTTAATTTCACAGTACACGAGTAATCCGGGTTCGATTCCCGCCGGCACCTTAATGTCACTAGTGATATATTTATACATTAAAATGATATTATTAATTGATAGATATATAAAAAAAAGAAAGTTGCTGGTTTCGGCTGCGTGGCTCCGTGACTTAGAAAAGAGTAACAACGCTGAGGGCAGCGGGTTCGAATCCCTCACGGAATAATTTGTGTGGCCTACAAGCAATTGTTCCCCGTCTGGAAGTTCGTCCTTGTGCGATTTATGTATGTGTATTCACTGCTATGTTCCCGTTTGAAGGGTATGGGGAACCAGTATAACTACTGGCTGTGAGGCATTCCAACTTAGGCCTCACCTCAGAGGTGATTAAGCATCTGTAGTCCTCTTTGTTTAAAATTGGCAAAAAGAAAGAATTTAATATAAAATACTCTTATTTTAATCTAAACAAACATATTTATAAATAAAATATAATAATTATCTTGTGGTATTCATAAATCTTCAATTTACGCAATATTTAGTTTATTGTACGGATTGCAGTACAGTTGAGTTGAACATAGTCAATGTTCGGAAAGCGACATTTAGTGCGTAGTACATATAATATATCGAAACCCATATTATATGTCATTTACGTAAACAGTTTGTAACACAGTCTGGGAATTCCAGCAACTATCGTAGTAATTGATGTCTACTTGTTAACTTCTTGCCGCTTCTCACATTCTTTCGCAGTAGGCCAAAATGTAAAGGCAAATTCAGTAGTTAAAATAATGTAACTTCGCTGGACTTCAATGGTGTCATAATTTTCTTTAAATAACTAACTTTCAGTGTATGCTTACAGCTGATATGGTGATTTCTGCGAACGCTTTCATCATATTCCTTGGTGGGTTCGAGACCACATCGTCGACGTTGGCATTCCTCTGTCTGGAACTTGCTGCTCATCCCGAAGTCCAGGAGAAGATGAGGAACGAGATTGTTGAGGTGTTAGCCAAGACCGATGGAACTCTCACCTACGAGACGCTTCAAGAGTTGACGTATATGGAAATGGTGATTCATGGTGAGCATTACATTTACGATCACATCATTAAGTGCCATATAGTTTAGTGGTTGGGGCATCTGATCGAGTTTTTTTCGAATCGAGAATAAAGTTGACAAGCGAGCACACAGTCCACAGTAAGTGGTTGCTGTGGCCCATAGACATCTACATATATCCTCGAGTACGAATTAAGATGCTGATGCGTTGTCACCCGTGAGGACTAAGATGGAATGCCTCGTTTCCAGTAAAAAGGGTCTCCGGTTCTCTACACTCATGATACGAAACACAGCAGCATTAAGCTGCTATTTTACGCTGGTATTCTGTGAGAGCGTGTTCCTTCCCCGGTCGAGCCGACCCATTCGGGCTACAACTATACAACTAAGATAGCTGCAGAATGACTCTACCACGTACGATTCGAGTTGTGGTCCTGAGTTCGAATTATTGATAGAGTCTATATTTTATGCAAAAGAACACAATATGTAAATGTGATTTCGGTGTCCGGACTTAATGATTTTGGGCTCTTTTCAGTTCAGTCTATCTGATCAATTTATAGAGCCTTGGAAAATGTATGTGAAGCAAGTTAGATATCAAACCTTAGGACTAAAGTTCGTTCTCAATTCTTGTAATAGATATTCGCAGTTATTGGATGACGCTAACAAGTTGTGCAACACTGTAATTTCATCTCGTTACTCGTACAGGGCAACGAACAGCACCTGTTACCAATTCTATATTGCAACAACTGTTATAAATAACATCAGGTGAACTGTGTGCTCGTTTGTCGCCCTCACTTATTTCACGAATGATATATGTGCATCTGTTAATCGTGAATGATTCGTTCATTCGACCCGGGTCGCATCAAAGTATTGATGATTGCAATTACATTTTTTGAACTTTCCGGATCAAAAGATTGACGGGATGACGGGACCTACGATCAAAAGTTTAAACAAATGTTCGACGATTGACATTATCGAGCGGGTCCCACAGAACACAGAGTACTCAAACTCGAAATGATCCATATGAATGATTGACCCGAATGACCCGGTTCGTAAGAGGAATCAATACTTGAATGATCGGCTTACTAGAAATGAATGAATGACACATGTCTAACGAATAACTAACAGACCTTTTTACATGTTCTCGTTTTAAGAATATCATAGTCATAAGTAAATATTATCTATGTTATTCAGATATTTTAACCGACTTTATAAAATTGCCTTTTAACATAATTTAAATATAATTTCTTTTACAACCGACTTCAATATAAATTATTAAGAATAACTCTAAACTATTGGTTAAACCTTAATCAAATTTATATGAGACCACATGAGAAGCACCAGCTTTCAAATAAAAAAGAAACATCGAAATCGGTCCACCCAGAAAAAAGTTAGAAGGTAACACACATAAAAAACAAACATAGCCGAATTGAGTACCGTCTCCTTTTTGAAGTCGGTAGAAAAGGCTTTGGCTTTTAATTTTTGTTAAAAGTTAATTTTGTGTTTCTGGGGGCAGTGCCCCCGCCAAGTCGTGCAAATAAGCGGCACGGCCGTACCATCCTTTTCCCGAAGCAGTTCAGGCCATTGTCGATCTCCTATAACTTCGTTGTGGATAACACTAGAAGCCTGAATTTTAGTAACCCAGTAGGTATTGTATAAACTCGGTATATGTCAAATTTCATTAAATTTGAACCAGTAGTTTAAGAATTATAACTAGTCAAAGTTTCTTAATTTTGTCACTCACTGACTGACCGATCATCAAAACTCTAAGGCACTCCTAGCAGACATAAAAGCTTCAAATTCAGAATACAATTAGTGTTTAGTGTATAAATCAAGGAAAAATTAAAATATTTTGCAATTTTGGTCCACTTTTCTAGATAACTCAACTGCATAATTAACTTTGTCCCATACAAATATATAGGATTACAAAGTTACATTTGCAGTGAATAAATCAGTGTATCTATATATGTATAATATAATGAAATAATAGGTGTAGATAGGTACCTAGATATAACTATCTACAAAAAGAAAGGAGATACCGCCAAAAACATAACTTGTAAAAAAAAACCAAGTCTCGCAACTCAGTTCTTCTACCGTAAAAAGTTGTAAGGTCCATGTATCCAATGCGATCCTATACCAAGTCGGTTAATTTATTCAGTCCATTCTTAAGGATCCTTCTGTCTTAAGCTATTACGTAATTAGCTAACCTAACAACATTTTATAGTGACCATATCAATATTAAAAATCTTTTAAGTTTTAAATAAATAGATTGACTTGGCAATCGCACTAAACAATCTAATTTAATATATTATGTACTACTTGTGTGATACATTGTGTTTTCATGCGATGGCCAAGTCAATCTATTTATTTAAAACATAAAAGATTTTTAGTTGCGTGACTTGGTTTTTTTACAAGTTATGTTTTTGACGGTATACATATTATTCAGGTGCAATGTTTTATTTAGCATATTTATCTATTTAGGATTTAGGTGCCATTCCTGAGAAAATTAATTTATTTTTTCTAACGCCGTAAATCCAACAAACAGTACAAATAAGCAGGCGTCATCATCCGCAACATCCAGTCATAACATAGGTTCGGAGTTTTATTCGTTGTGTTTGTTTTTATTGTGTGTATTATTTCCCGATATTATTCGGTGTTTTGAACTACAGAATGAGTGAGGATAAACGCAAAATATATCTGATATATATATATCTGTGTTTACGAAAGTTATTTGTAATTAAAAATGATTTGTAGCTTATACAAACACTTGCTTTGTGCCGGGTGCGAAGTCACGGCCTTCGCTCGCTGTAGTCAAATACTTGATAGCTACTTAGTGTTTGTGACCAACTTATATTCCCATGGGAACTGCCCGACCCTTTTAACTTTATTACTTGGAGTAGTGAACGGGAATATTAGTAATATTAAGTCTTTTTTCTAAAACTGAGTGTACCACGGACTAATGAGGCTATTTTTAGAGAAAAATCCCATTACGCACGCTAATATTTTCAACGCGAATTCGATATCGCGCGATCGAATCCCGCACGTTATAAGTATGGCCTACAAATAATTGTTCCGGGTCTGGATATTTGACCCTGTGCAATTTATGTATAGAAATTGCCTCCACGATACAGGAAAAAATTCTAGTGTGAGTGTGAGGCCGCGTTCCGACGACACGCACCCGCTACGCGCACGCTACGCGCGTCAGCACCCGCGTCTAACTCGCTTTGAAATTTGTTGCATATAATTTGAGTCTTATGGCAAATCAATAAAGACCTGAGGGTGACGGTTTTTCAAGTGAGTGAGAGAGAGCGAATATACTTTGAACACTATAATATATTAATAGAATGGCGGATGCAGGTGACTAAGTGCTGCGCAATTTTTTTTTTACTCTGAGGGAGTGACCTATATTGTCGTATGGTGGGCTGTTGTGGTGGTAACGGTTAGAGTAACATATTTTTGTTATCTGTTTCATATTCTGTTTAATATATTTATATATTATTATTAATATATTATCATACTTGTATTAGAACTTTGTAGAACTTTTGTTAATTATTTTTATTGCGACATTGAATGTGTTTTTCAGAAACTCTACGGCTATACCCGCCATTCCCGAACATTCAACGCATGTGCACAAAGGACTACATAATACCCGGCACTAATATCGTGGTTGAGAAGGGGACAATAGTGCTTTTTCCGACCCTCGGCATACAAAGAGACGAGCAGGTTTCGTATCTTTCTTTTGTATTTTCCGTAATTAAAAGCGACTATCTTTTTTGACGAGGGTTATAGAGTGTAAAGATTTTTAAATGTATATAGGTATCTACATGTATTTTTACATGGTAGAGCTATGCTGCACCTATATTACTGGTATAGTTGTAACACGAATGGGTCGGCGTGACCGGGGAAGGACCAAGCTCTCACAGAATACCAGCGTAAAATAGCAGCTTAATGCTGCTGTGTTTCGTATGGTGAGTGTAGTTTTTACTGGAAAAGAGGCATTCCATCTTAGTCCTCACGGGTGACAACGCATCCGTATTTTGATTCGCAAGCGAGGATAGATGTAGATGTCTATGGGCCACAGCAACCACTTACCATCAGGTGGACTGAGTGCTCGTTTGTCACCCTATCCTATAAAAAAAAAAACAACGTTTTTGCCTACCGATCGACCCTTACGAATGTGTGCGTGCGCAGTAAAATCAGTTAACATAATACATTACCACGCATTTTGAATTTAAAAGATAAAAAGGACAGTTTTTTTTGAGATTTGTTTTTAATTAATTTGTTTTCATCATTTGCCTATATTACTTATTGTGAACCTTATCTGCAAATTTGGCCGGTTATTGCAAAATAACCCTGTATTTTAAAGTTATGTTTTTTCCTTTCTAATGGGGTCGCTCTGTCCTCAATACCTAATTAAGTACTGGCTGTAAGGCATTTCGTTTTAGCCCTAAGAGGTGACATAGCACCTTTTGCTTTTTTTGTTAGAAGTTGGTTGTAGGGTTTTAGGTGTTTATGGACTGTCGTGGCCACTTATCATCAGGTGGATAGTGTTGTCTCGATAATTTTATTAAAAAAATATTCATACAACACTATATTAGCTCAAGTCATATTAATTACATATACATACCTTTATTTTCTTGGCTCCGCCTGGATTTTCGAAAGGAGTTAGAAAGCTGTATTGATAATATAGCTGGCTTACTTTTTTTTATAGCATAGGGTGACAAACGAGCACACAGTCCACCTGATGGTAAGTGATTGCTGTGGCCCAATAGACATATAAATTTATCCTGGTTTGCGAATCAAAATGCAGATGCGTTGTCACCCGTGAGGACTATTAAGATGGAATGCCTCTTTTTCGGTAAAAAGGGTCTCCTGTTCTCTACACTCACCATACGAAACACAGCAGTGTTAAGCTGCTATTTTACGCTGGTATTCTGTGAGAGCGTGGTCCTTCCCCGGTCGAGCCGACCTAATCGTGCTACAACTATACTACTAATATAGTTGCAGCATGGCTCTACCACGTATAATTACTTTTGCAATATGAAAAATAATAAAGTCATACCAACATACTGCCAAGCTGGCACCAAATGTCCAGCGGTGGACTGCTAAGAGACTTACTTAGAAAAATATTTTTGTCAATGACTATCTCAGCCAAATGAAAATAATTTTTTGCAGTATTTTGAAAATGCGTCAGCCTTCGTACCGGAGCGTTGGGCTGAAGACAAGCCAGTGCCACCTCCTGGAGTCTACATGCCTTTTGGAGACGGTCCACGGTATTGTATTGGTATGTTTTTCATTTTTTTTAACTAAGAAATATTTTTTTATGGAATGTATAAAGTCTCTCCGTGCGGATACAATCTGGACGTCTTTAAGGCAAGAGGTAAAAAGGCTTTTGTTACGCTAAAACAGTGCGATTTACCATCGAGGGATTTAGCGCGAATTACCACCATGTACAATAGAATATAATGTAATAGAATAGAATAGAATAAAATAAAACATGCGTGAGTGTCGCGGAACACTCGGTTGGAACGAAGTTCGTTTCGTAGTATGTTGTTATTGATAAACGTATTATATTATTGATTAAAAAGTGTATTTTCCGTCATAGACATATAGTGCGAGCGAGATGGAATAATATCCATTTCCCCGCACTTTTTCTTATCTTGTCATATTATTGCATGCCGAGCGCAAAGCGCGTGGGTATGTTCTACTAACGCCTAAAAATCAAGATTCCAACGTTTTGTCGCATGAAATCGTATCCAGCAATCATTTTATACATATAAATAATATAAAAAGCACGTTGTTAGAAAGATAAATGATTGTTGAACTTTTTAATATATTTTTTAAATCGATTAATTGCTATTTGTAAATAAAAAAAAGGGGTTTTAGTGGCTTATGGTGTGGATTTATCATGTCCCCAGGCTTGTAAATACGTTAAATTTGGAAAATATCAATTGTTTAACTCAATTTATTTTTTAATCTCTTCATCTATCATGTGGGAAGCCACTGAATGTAATGTCGCCGTCCATAGTATACTATATTTTGGGGTATCGGCGTTCGGCGTCAGTCGCCGTCGTGAGTGGACATTGTTTCGGTTGTTTGCAGCGGGTCAAAAAGATCGCTGTACAAATACACAATATTCGAACAACCAAATTTCTTAAATACTTGATTATAATAATAATAAGAGATTTTTTTTATTACCATATTTAAAAGCACAGTATAAATAAATGTAGTACGTACTAAAAGTAAGTAGTATCAATTTTTTTGTCATGGGTGTCATTTTCATGGTTTTCGAGGGTTTTGAAGCCGATAGTGCTGTCGAAATGTAAATACAAGATAGCGCCTGCAATAGATATCAATTTTTTCATCTTGGGTGTCATTTTCATGGTTTTCGAGGGTGTTGAAGCCGATAGTGCTGTCGAAATGTAAATCCAAGATGGCGGCTGCAATAGGTATCAATTTTTTCATCATGGGTGTCATTTTAATGGTTTTCGAAAAAGTTGAAGCCGATAGGGTAATCGAAATATAAGTCCAAGATGGCGGCTGCAATAAATATCAATTTTTTCAACAAGGGTGTCATTCTCATGGTTTTAGCTGGTGTTTATTTTTTATTTTTTATTTTATTTATTAAGATATACAAACAAATGTACAAAGGTATTTATAAAAGTATTATCAGAAAAGAGTATAATATATGTACATTCAACACCGTATACCACATATTAGTATAAACAATAAGTAATAAGTAACGAGTTGAAGAGAAAAAATTACTATCACAAAAAATATATAAGTATTAAACAGTATAAGAGACGTATGCACAAATAAAATTTTAAATTTGTAATACCTGTAATTTATTCTTAATATATTTTTTAAAGCACATATTTGAGGCAGTAAAAATATCAATATCGCTAAAGTAATCATTATATGATTGCACTATGCGTCTTAATGGGGAACGAAGACCAGCGTTAGTACGACAGATTTTTGTCATAAATAGTTTATGTGAGTATTTCTCACGAATACGTTGTGAACCACTTGGAACGCGATAGAATATTTGATTAGTGAGTTGAATACAATCGATATCATTATGACATAGTTTATACAGATATAAATTATTTATAAGTATCCTTCTTTTGTAAAGAGGTAGGAGCGAAAATTTGTCTAATAAATTAATATAACTTGAATACGATCTGTGATAGTACCTATAGTTAACGGTTTTTAAGAATTTACGTTGGATACGCTCTAACTGAAGATTGTATTTCTCATAGAATGGGTTCCAAATGATAGAGGCGTACTCCAATATCGGTCTGATCAGAGAATTAAACAAGTAGATATATGAATTGGGTCGAACGAATTCACTACAAGAGCTGATAATAAAACCAAATATACAAAATGCTTTGTTGGTAATATAGTTAATGTGATCGTTAAAATCAAGTTTTGCGTCTAGTATAACTCCTAGATCTTTAATTAGATCCACCTTACATAACTCTGTATTATTAATAGTATATGTATTATTTATAAGATTACGCTTCTTTGTAAATGTTATTGATTTACATTTATCAACATTAAGCTGTAGTTTATTTTTAGTACAGTACAAAGATAAGCGATAAAGATCACTTTGTAACTTAAAGTTGTCATCAGCGCTTAAGATTGGCAGGTATACCTTTAGGTCGTCAGCGTAAAGTAGGAAATAGTGTTGAAGCCGATAGTGCTGTCGAAATGTAAATCTAAGGTGGCAGCTGCAATGGGTATCAATTTTTTCATAATGGGTGTTATTTTCATGGGTTTCGAGGGTGTTGAAGCCGATAGTGCTGTCGAAATGTAAATCCAAGATGGCGGCTGAAGTAGGTACCAATTTTTTCATCATGGGTGTCATTTTCATGGTTTTCAAGGGTGTTGAAGCCGATAGTGCTGTCGAAATGTAAATCCAAGATGGCGGCTGCAATAGATATAAATTTTTTCATCATGGGTGAAATTTTCATGGTTTTCGAGGATGTTGAAGCCTATAGGATTGTCGAAATGTAAATCCAAGATGGCAGCTGCAATAGGTACCAATTTTATCATCATGGGTGTCATTTTAATGGTTTTCGAGAGAGTTGAAGCCGATAGGGTAGTCGAAATGTAAATCCAAGATGGCGGCTGCAATAGATATCAATTTTTTCATCATGGGTGAAATTTTCATGGTTTTCGAGGATGTTGAAGCCGATAGGGTTGTCGAAATGTAAATCCAAGATGGCAGCTGCAATAGGTACCAATTTTATCATCATGGGTGTCATTTTAATGGTTTTCGAGAGAGTTGAAGCCGATAGGGTAGTCGAAATGTAAATCTAAGGTGGCAGCTGAAGTAGGTACAAATTTTTTCATCATGGGTGTCATTTTCATGGTTTTCGAGGGCGTTGAAGCAGATAGTGCTGTCGAAATGTAAATCCAACACGGCGGCTGCAATAGATATCAATTTTTTCACCATGGGTGTCATTTTCATGGTTTTCGAGGGTGCTGAAGCCGATAGTGCTGTCGAAATGTAAATCCAATATGGCGACTGCAATAGGTATACATTTTTTCATCATGGGTGTTATTTTTATGGTTTTCTAGGGTATCGAAGCCGATAGTGCTGTCGAAATGTAAATCCAACATGGCGGCTGCAATAGGTATCATTTTTTTCATCATGGGTGTCATTTTCATGGTTTTCGAGGGTGCTGAAGCCGATAGTGCTGTCGAAATGTAAATCCAATATGGCGACTGCAATAGGTATACATTTTTTCATCATGGGTGTTATTTTTATGGTTTTCTAGGGTATTGAAGCCGATAGTGCTGTCGAAATGTAAATCCAACATGGCGGCTGCAATAGGTATCATTTTTTTCATCATGGGTGTCATTTTCATGGTTTTCGAGGGTGCTGAAGCCGATAGTGCTGTTGAAATGTAAATCCGACATGGCAGCCGCAATAGATATCAATTTTTCATCATGGGTGTCATTTTCATGGTTTTCGAGGGTGTTGAAGTCGATAGTGCTTTAAAAAATTCCGTATAATCATGCTATACGTAATTTTTTTTAATGCGATGGCATGCTCAATTGGATTTATCAATTTTTTTTTAACTACGCTTAGTAATTAATTTATTTGTATTTATTAAGGAACTTCGTTTTAATAGAATTGATTTATTTTTTATTTAATATAGATTACACGTAATTCTTATTGAAAGCATTTTTTACTTTACCATTACCACCACGTAGGATTGTGGTTAAGCACTGGTTTATAATAACTAAAAAAAGTTTTATTTTAGTTAGGTGTAGGTACGAGTACTGTGAGTTTGTCTCTTTTGTCGACTTCATAAACGAGGGAGGATCTCAATTCGACTGTATGTTTTTTTGTATGTACGAGTATATTAAGTGATATCTTCTTCAATTGTGGACCGATATCAATGATTATTTTCTTATGAAATAGGTTATCATTCAGGAGTAGACCGTTATATTTTTTTTGTAGAATAATTATCCACTCCATAGATTGGCAAAATAGGGGATGACATTTTTAATATAACTATTTATTGACATTCGAGCTTTTGATAATCCTTTCTCTCAAAATGGTCAAAATATTAGATTTTAAATTAAAAGTAAGAGCTGACTTCAGAGAACATTAACGAATAAAGTAATTTATGCATAACAGCTTCAGTAGTTGGTAGGCTTGAGACTCCAAAAAAGACATTTCCGGGATTACCCAGCTCGACATCCAGGACTTGGATATATTAAGTGGGACACAACACACCACATACAGATTGGTTAGATTTTTTTTTTTAATAATGTGTCACAAATTAGTGTAGTTGGTACGAGATAGATACTAATATCATATAATCACTGATTTCGGGACAAAAGGCGTATCGCATTGGGTCACGGCAGGACGGTCCAAAATAGACCCAGAAGCGTTTTTTAAGTGGTAGAGCCATGCTGCAGCTATATTAGTAGTATAGTTGTAGCACGAATAGGTCGGCTCGACCGGGGAAGGACCACGCTCTCACAGAATACCAGCGTAAAATAGCACCTTAATGCAGCTGTGTTTCGTATCGTGAGTGTAGAGAACCGGAGACCCTTATTACTGGAAAAGAGGCATTCCATCTTAGTCCTCACGAGTGACAACGCATCTGCATTTTGATTCGCAAACTAGGATAATTGTAGATGTCTATGGGCCACAGCAACCACTTACCATCAGGAGGACTGTGTGCTCGTTTGTCACCCTATCCTATAACAAAAGCGGGACGTCCCGGGACGGTTGGCAAGCCTAGTAGTCGGGGCTTTAATACACTACGGTGTTACCAGCAACGTTTGAAGCTACAAGTATCATGCAGAAATCGTTTTATTCATTTAGTTGGTGTAAAGACAGCTTTTACGTTTCATTAATAGTCGTAATTTTATATTTTAAGCGATAATAATGAAGGTAAAGTAAGTGTAAAAAATTGGGTACTACTAAAAGTATATCATCTAATAATTATAACTTTTAACAAAAAGTAAAAAACGACTTCAAATTGTTAAAAAAGAAGTTATTTATTTGCTACCTTTACGGGTGGAATTTATTCTTCATGATATGACGAGGGACCACCCTTGAAGGCCTTTGTCCTATTTATTAATAAAAAAATCATTAAAATCGGTTCTTAATTTGCGAAGATATCATATGAAATTCCTCAAATAATAGTCTAATATGAAACTTTTCCTCCTACTTTTCACCCTTGGGCCGGAAGTTTTCCTTAAAGTTTTAATGAAACCACCCTTGAGATAAAGGCTATTTAATAAAAAAAGAATCATTAAAATCGGTTCCTAATCTGCGAAGATATCGCATAACATACATACAAAAAAAGGGAATTAAGAACTTCCTCCTTTTTGTAGTCGGTTAAAAATATAGCAATACACGTAATGATGGCGGCTACTATTTAGCAGTGTAAAATATGTTCCGTGTGGTATCTTACAATTGATACAATTTGAGCACTTCCCGATCAGCTAGAGACTTGGCATTTTGAATATAGCCCAGAATCGGATGACAATGTAGGAATATAAAAAAATAAAACGTGGTACATACCTATATTATTTTTTTAAGTAAAAAAATCATATCCGATACTTTGCTGCAACTGCATTGGTATCGTGTTACGTGACACTGAATGTAAACTTGCTGATAAAACAGGTTTGCTTTTTTTACGTCTAAGGTACATATTTTGATGATTTGCAAATATTTAAATAATTTTATTTTTTCATCGTTATTAGAGCTTATCAAATGTCCACTGTCAAAGACATGTCTCTCACATATATTGCATACGGAGGATATTTTTTAGATTCAGATTTTAAAAAGAAATTTATAAATTACCATTACTCTACGTTTTTACGTGGTAGAGCCATGCTGCAGCTATATTAGTAGTATAGTTGTAGCACGAATGGGTCGGCTCGACCGGGGAAGCGCAAAATAGCAGCTTAACGCTACTGTGTTTTGTATGGTGAGTGTAGAGAACCGGAGATCCATTTTACTGGAAACAAGGCATTCCCTCTTAGTCCTCACGGGTGACAACGCATCTGCATTTTGATTCGTAATTGAGGATAGATGTAGATGTCTATGGGCCACAGCAACCACTTACCATCAGGTGGACTGTGTGCTCGTTTGTTACCCTTATCATATAAAAAAACAATAAGTGATGTTTTTTCATGCCGCCTCCACATAGCAGTACATACCATGCAGCAAATATTTAGAAATGCTTCAGTCCAGCTGTGAATTTAAAATGGTTCTAAGTACCCATACCTTAGGTCTACAATCCTAGAAGTCTTTTCATTCTGTAACAAGTGTTTTTTTTTAATTTGGTACTAAAAAAAATAATAGACCACGGTTTTTTATATTCCTACATTGTCATTCGATTCTGAGTTATGTTCAAAATTTCAAGTCTCTAGCTCATCGGGAAGTGCTCGAAAGAACAATAGCAGACCTCAGGTATACCTCAAAACTTGAAAATGAGACTGTACACCCAGTGCGTGTTGCCAGTGATGACATACGGAACTGAGACGTGGTCCTTCACTGCAGGCCGGATGAGGAAGCTCAAGGTCGCTCAGCGAGCTATGGAGAGGGCTATGCTCGGAGTTTCTCTGCGTGATAAACTCAGAAATGAGGATACCGACCGACATAGCCCAACGGATTAGTAAGCTGAAGTGGCAATGGGCCGGCCATATAGCTCGAAGAACCGACAACCGATGGGGAAGAAAGGTTCTCGAGTGGCAGCCTCGTACCGGCAGGCGAAGTGTAGGGCGTCCCCCCACTAGATGGAGTGACGACCTGGTAAGATATCCAGGGAGTCGATGGATGCAGGTGGCTCACGACCGTGCTTTGTGGCATTCTTTGGGGGAGGCCTATGTTCAGCAGTGGACTTGTGAAGGGCTGTAATGATGAATGATGAAACTTAATACAAAAATATTTTGTGTTTGTGTGCTGTGTTGGTAGTCTTACAAAGTGTATACGAATATAGTATGAATATATTAAATGGCAACACTTGAATAGAGTAAAATAATTTAAGTCATTTGATATTCCCAAAAATGTTTGTTATTTTCTGTGGGTTTAATTAAAATACATTTTCATAGAAAAATAATAAAAATCATTTTATATACACATAACTTATTTCTAGACGCAATAATTTTTGTCAACTATTTTTCTGCCATTGTTCTTTGAGTTGCAAGATACCACAATTTACCTCCCGTATGGTCTAGTGGCTAAGATACCTGGCTTTCACCCAGGAGACTCGGGTTAGGTTCCCGGTACGGGACATATGTTTTGTACGTGGTAGAGCCATGCTGCAGCTATATTATGGTTGTAGCACGAATGGGTCGGCTCGACCGGGGAAGGACCACGCTCTCACAGAATACCAGCGTAAAATAGCAGCTTAACACTGCTGTGTTTGGTGAGTGTAGAGAACCGGAGACCCTTTTTACTGGAAAAGAGGCTATCCATCTTAGTCCTCACGGGTGACAACGCATCTGCATTATGATTCTTTCTTGAGAATAAATGTGGATGTCTATGGGTCACAGCAACCACTTATCATCAGGTGGACTGTGTGCTCGTTTGTCACCCTATCCTATATAAAAAAACACCCGGAACGACAGACATACAGACAAATAAGAAAGTGACTAAATAAAAACGTGGTAAAAATTCATTTTTGATTACAGGTAAACGATTCGCGATGATCCAGATGAAGTGCTGCCTTGTGAAGTTATTGCAGCATGTTAGGATAAGTCCCGCGCCATGTGGGAAAACTGGTGCAAACCTCAGGTCCAGATCGGAGCCCTTCGAGGCGAACCCGCGTTCTCCGCTCACACTGCACCCTGCCGATTCGCGCGTCAGACTAACATTATTATGACAAACGTAGAGTTGTCAGAAAATATTAAAATACAGAACAAAAAAGTAGTTTTTATTAAAGGCACTCAGACTAAAAAAAAGAGTGTGCACACTACGTATATTTCAAATGACGCCGAAACCATGCTCAACTGCTTGACGTACACATCTTTTTTCCTTCTTTATCAACCCGTAAAAGTTTGCTGTTGGTTGCGCACATCATATGCAACTAAAACCATATTGTTGGTTGCAAATTAATGATATTAGATGACGTGATGTTTCTTGGAGTAATTATTCAAAATATAATTCAGTTTCACACAGTCCTTTTCAGACATTAAAACCTTTTTGTTGAACGAAAATAATAAATAAAAAGAAAGCCTGGGTGACTGAAATTTTATAATATGTCGGTATCCGGAAATCGATCTCCGATATCAGGAAATTGTTGGGAACGAGTTCTAATTTGTATGAGTTTTTAACTTAAGAAAATACATTTGTCAGAGCCATATTTATTTTGTTAAATGTACTTAAGATTTCAAATCGAGTAAAGAAGACAACGCAATTGTTTAAGTTATTAAATTCATTAAATGAGAATTTGTCGAAGTCAGGCGTGAGGTTTAAATCGATATCATTAAGAAAAAATCCGGACTTCTTTTTTGCCTATGCTGTTTCGGTCTGAAAGGTGTAGGTGGCCCTAAAAGAAACGGGACTTCGGAAGTTACGGGCGCTCTAGTGATGTAACACCTGAGAAGGACGGTGAATCGAAAGTGGTCTCGAGCACCGTGATAGCATTGCGAGGGTGCTGGGGGTAGTAAGGACTGCTCCCGGGACGTGCTTTAATAGAGCAAAGCGTAAAAGGGGCTCCGGTTGCGTTCCGAACGGACATCCCGAGACCCCTCGTACACGCTGATGGAGACCATCGTGGGGTTTTGGCCGGTAGGAGTCCGGCATAACCTTTGTTGCCCCTGCAGCAGACGGTATCTATGAGGATTTCCCCACGATAAAAAAAGTGGCCAGTACAATTACAAGCTGTGAGCCATTCCAGCTTAGTCCTCAGAGGTGACTCATCTGTAGTGTTCTTTATTTATAATATGTTGCTGGTGCCCATGGGCTGCAGTAGCAACTTGCCATCAAGTGGACTTGTCCACTTGTTCATTTATCTATTATCAAGTGGTTTTGTAGGTGGTTGAGCCATGCTGCAGCTATATGAGTAGTATAGTTGTAACACGAATGGGTCGGCGCATCCGGGGAAGGACCACGCTCTCACAGAATACCAGTGCAAAATAGCAGCTTAACGCTGTTGTATTTCGTATGGTGAGTGTAGAGAAGCGGAGACCCCTTTTTAGTGGAAAAGAGGCATTCCATCTTAGTCCTCACGGGTGACAACGCATCTGCATTTTGATTCGCAAACGAGGATAAATGTAGATGTCTATGAGCCACAGCAGCCACTCACCATCAGGTGGACTGTGTGCTCGTTTGTCACCCTATCCTATAAATAAAAGTGGGCAACCCTTATATTGAAGGTTATGGCACACATTTCGTGACGTAAAGAAGGTAGATGGTGAAAATATCCTTGATGTAGTCGTCAAAAGACATGAAATGTAGACATGTGTCATTCGTTCATTTCTAGTGACCCAATCATTCAAGTATTAATTCGTCTTACGAACCGGTTAGAGTCGATCATTCAAATAGATCATTTTGAGTTTCAGTATCTCTGTGATATGGGACACCTGTTAAATAATGTCAGTCGTTGGACATTTATACTCGTTGGTCGTTGGTCCTGTCAATCGTTTGATCCGGAACGTTCAAAAAGTGTAATTGCAATTATCAATACTTTGGTGAGATCCGGGTCAAGTGAACGAATCATTCACGACTAGGGTTACCAGATGGAAAAATCAAAAGTCCGGAGAAAAGGCCAGATTTCCATTAAAAAATCCTGAGATTTTTACAGTTGAGAAATTTCTCTCCAACGTACTTAACAATTTAAAAAAAAGTCATAATATTATCTTTTTTATACACTGTGGATCTCGTTCAAGCGTTGCACATCGCTCTCAAGTGAGGGGGGGGGGGGCACCGCTCTTATCAGAGCAGTGTCGCACACTCGCTCAGTTCCACCCCGTTGCTTTAACCATACTCAAGTAAATCATCATCATCAATCAATCTCAATTTAAAATGAAATACTCAATACCATGCTTTAACCATTTTCCAGACAATTTTCTATTATGGGGGCTCAATGGTCGAATGAAAGAAACCGACTACCGATGTATTCAGTTCGGCTATACTTTTAATTCAATATAATTTGAAGAGTTCAATATGTGGGGCATTTTATAAATCAATACTTAAAGAAAAAAAACCTTATTTAAAAAGGTATCTTCACATATAAAGTATGATAAAACTGTTTAAGTACCTACTTGGATAAATAAGTTTTGATTTTAATTGTGCAATTATTACCAAAGGAAGATTATTTTTAGTTTGTTTAACTTTTTTAAAGAGAGATCTTTAAAATGTAAGCTGTATTGTATTAAAAATTCTAATAATCCTGAGATTTCATGAGATTTGCAAAATCCAGCCGCAATCCTGAGGAGAGTCCAAAAATCCTGAAATCTCAGGACAAATCCTGAGATATGGTAACCCTATCACGCCTGACACGTGTCTAATGAAATGTAATGCCGGGCGTTCTACTTGCGTCCTGCTGCGGCCTACTTGTTGGCGGATAATATGTCTAAAGTTCACCAAGTTACCTAGAGTAAAAAAGTGGTGAGTAAAAGAGGAGGCTATTGCTTATCAGTGAAAGAAAAATAAAACTTATTCGTAACCATAACACAATACAGCACAATGAATTCAAAACAAAAAATGAAAAAGAAAATAATTATATTGGGCTGCAGCTACGAAACGGTCAAGGACAAAATCCGCGAGTAGTTTTTATATATTAACATTGGCTGAAAATAAAAATAAAACTTATCAAACCGAAAAAAAAATAAAAAGATGGAAAATAATAAAAAAAAAAATCTAACGGATCTGTATTTATATACAGAGTAACAATCTTTTATTACGTTTAATACTAGTATTTATACATACGTACAGTAATATATGATACTAGTGGAATATTACAGTCTGCTCATGATGTTAAAATTAAAAATAGCAGAAAGTTAATTAAGTAAAACACGGCTGCTTGTCGATTTCACATACCAATTAACAGTATTTTAGGTAAGAAAGCAATCTTTACAAGTAAGTTAACTAAAACTATCTTTTGTAAAGAGATTACAATAATTATCCTTGTTAAAACGTTACACATTATAAAAACTGGTTTACTTAGGGTTGTGATAGTTGTTTAAATAAGCGTCAGTAACTTAATGGCAGGGTGCGGACTACGAACTCGAAAGGTCGTGGGTTTGAATCCGCCATTCGACTACTGTCGTGGTATCTAACACAAGCATTTTAAACTTACCAGAAGTGGTTTAAGGAAATATTAGTAATGTTTAATAGCATTACTAGTATGTATTTAAAAAAAATATTACATTTGAATTGATATAACATTATCTAAAATCTATATAAACATTTTATATCATTAATGTGTTTGATTTTTATTTTTAATATTTTGTAACCATACCTCCTGGCATTGGAGAAGCCATCAGCCGATTTCATCCCCTGAAAGACCGGCAAGCCTATATGATGACTGCGTTAGAACAAGTCTCCTGTAAAAAAATTAACTTATTGTTTAATTTTGCTTAAAATGGTTGAACTGCCGTCTTATTACTATCATATGGTCGAATAGACCTACGAAGTACCATGCGCTTTTGTGATATGGTATAAAGTTTATTTTTGCTTGAAACAGTTCGAAACCGTTCACGCATAAAAAAAGTTCGCTAATAAACAGTCTTTTGTCAATCCGCCGTTTCATAGCGCCGGCGTTTTCTTTTCCTTTTGAAAACACTTGTTTTGCTATTCTTACTAATTAGACGTTTTCAGATCGACTTTACTTTTACATTTGTATAACATTAAATAATATTTAACATTTGTAAATATCAATGAATCATAAACCTTATTTTTTTCCAAATTAAGGTTCTTGATTGTTTGATATTTACATATGTTATTATTAGGTGAAAATTTAATTTAATGAAAACCAAGGTTTTCCAGGGTGATTTAGCTGTACCTACTTATATAAATGATTTTTTTTATAAAACATAAAATAGTACCAAAGGTTTGTAATCTCTGCACAAAAAAGTAACCCACTAAAAACAAGTATCCTTCCGTTTGTAACTGATGTTTGATGTCAACTAAACTTAATTAGACTACCTTGATGATGTTCTTACTTTATTTATATTGAAGTCGTTGTACAAAATTTTTAATTTTACCACTTGTAGTTCTACACGGACGAAGTTGCGGGTGAAAGCTAGCATCCAAATAACAAGTATAATCAAACTTCTTATTTTCTTTTTCTTACTGGCTAAGATCTTATTCGTCTTTGGCAAATGGATCCGTTGGCTATTTTTTGTCCAAAGTAAACGAAGTAGTTAAACCACCATCTATGGGAACCCATAAGATTTTTCTGGCATTTTCATTAGTCGTTTTCGTCATTTTCATTAGTCTTACGACGGACATTTCTCAAAGTGACGATGGATTCTATTTCTTCACCACCATATGACGTCATATCTTGAATTATCCAGCCTCATCTTAAACTATAATTATTGACATATTATGAATACAAATATTTATCACATAATGTAACCATATATAATAATTTTCAATGAAATCAATGTGATACTCAAGTTTACTAATGATGCTTTGTAACTAAATGCTTTATCTATTGCTATTATTATTAATATAATATATTATATTTGAGTTCGTAACTCGTATACAAAAGGTCGAAAATTGTAAAACTCAAAATTCTTGCCTTTGTGTGCATGGTCGGGTGATGATTATGTAAGAAAGGGAAACGTGGATGTTTTTGCTTAATGAAGATCAAACTGTGATCACTACGGTTTATAACGATTAATATTAATTTAATTAATAATGAGATTATATTTT